CGCGCGCCTGAGAACCAGCCGACCTCGCCTCTGGAGACCGGGTCGGCCGGGTTGAGCTCCGACGGAACCCACCGGACGGCGAGTCTCGAGCCCGTTGCCAGCGATAGAGCACATATACGATACAGACACTGTCGTAGGTGAACTGACTTGGCCCGTCCTTTGCCCGCTGCCAATACCAGGGGAAGGTTGTCCGAGAGGATCAGGATACGACGACCGTGGGCCTTGCAGCTCCTCAGGACGTTCTTGAAGCCCATGACCAGGGCCTCTCCCTCAAGAAACAGGATGTTGGGCCCCATCTCGACATGTGTGGCCGATGCACAGCTCCAGCACCCCGGACGCAGAAGCTGCCTAGGCACCTCCAAGAACTCCCCTGTGCTCGGATCAGGCTCCTCCTCGTTCAAGGCCCACAAAGGCCCCTCCTCCCGCTCCAAGATCATCTTGGTCTCCTCGTCCATCCCCACCTCCTCCAAGGCCCTACGACGGGCCTGAGCACCACCCTCGATCTTGAAACGGAACCTCTCCTTCTGCCGACCTAGCTCCTGGACCTGGACCGGGCTCATCTTGCGGCGGACGACCCCAAGACCGAACGGCGACGCGTCTGTACACGCAACGTAGGGATGCCAATCAGCCTGCAGGTCCACGCATAACAATGGCAACAAGTTGCGGACGCTCTCGAGCTCCTGCCTCACGGAGGACCACAAACAACAGGGTGTGGGGCCAGCGGACTGGATATACGCGTACGTGGCATGCAGCAAGGACAGACACTCGCGGCGCACCAGACTCGTCCAAGTGATGTGACCGGCGATAACACGCAAGAGATGTCCGCTCACCCTCGGCCTGGCCAGCAAGTCATCCAAGGCATACCGAAGCCTCCAAATGTTGCGACTCTTCACCGAAAGATAACGACCACCTCGAAGCGACATCCCCAAGAATTCACGATCCTTGCTGGCACCCTCAAGCTCGTGGACGACGAGGCCCAGGCCCCTCAACTGCTTGACGACAATATTGAGACGACTGGCCACGGTCCCCGGGTCATGCCCCAAGGTGAGGAAGTTGTCCACATATGCGGCCGACGCGGTGTCCCCAGGATATCTAAGAACCACTCCCGGCCTGCCGTCCAACACCTGCTCGTCCCTTTTGAAGCCCCCTTTGTCCAAAGCCCCTTCCAAGACGTTCTGACATAGATGGAGAGCCCATGAGAAGCCCATAGGAAGCACCCGTACGCAAGGTAACATAGTTACGCCGGCCCCGTCAGGGACACCAAGAATGTGAAACTTCTGCAGATAAGAGGAATCTATACAGGGCAAACTAAACACATGCTCCATTCCTTTAGGCAACTGCATATGATAAAAAGCCACATCCAGATCCCCGCTCGCTACATACAGAGGGCCCCCCTCGGCCTCGAGAGAGGCGAACGCAGAAGGGGAAGGGAGGCGCGTCGACGGTGGGTCGACGAACCTGCAATTCGCAACTCTGGTATCGAAGATGATGCGCTGAGCGCCGCTTTTCTTCTTCACAAAAAACAAACCCAGATTGCCTTGACGCCCCATGGCGCGCTCCCAGGACAGCATTCCCCGAGAAGACATATCTGCTAAAAACTCAGCATACCGCCACGGCGAATTCTTTAGGACGGGATCCACATGAGGTCCCCGCGGGCAAATTTCTTTCTGCAGGGCCCTGGCCTCCGACTCCGGGCGAAGCATTTGGTACTGCCAAGCCTCCAGCTGTTTCAAAACAGGCCCAGAAGCGAGCGACTCCAGAGGGACCGGGTCGGTCCGCCCAGTGGGCCAAGAGACGAGGTCTCGACTGAAGGATGTCACCGCCCCCCCATCTGATGAGTACAGGGCGGATCCGTCAAGAAGCGCCGAAAGGGCTCCCTTGGAAAAGAGGTGCGGCGCGGCTGGGTCCACAGGAGGGGCCCCCACCGCGCGGCAGGTTGCAATAATATTATCTACTGCTGCTTTCTGCCCGGCATTCGAGAACTCACTACCGAGGGAGGCACGGCCGTAGGTCTTGTTGAGCGTCGCGATGCAATCACGAATGAGGTGTTTATCGTGTTCGGCACGGAGAACCCGACGACGCACAGCACGCGACAGAGGGCCAGCAGCAGGTGAGGCTTCGAGAGATTCAGGAATAGGAAGAGGGAAGATGTCACGGTGCCGCCCATCAGGAACATCCCGCCGATGCTTCGTGCCGCCGACCTTCAGGAGGCCGGGTGGACCCTGCAGCCCTTCAAGGCTATCGAGGGTGAAGGCCGGGCCCCGAGCCTCCACCTGGCGTACATTCACCCCTCGCCCTTGTTGCCCTTCTTGCCTTTCTTGCCCTTGTCTTTGTCGTTGCCGCCCGCCGCGCCAGCAGCCAACTGACGCTCCTCACGAGCTTTCCTGAGCTCCTTCTGCACCGCCACCTCACGCGCGAGCTCAGTGGACACGTACTGCTGGAGGGAGGGCGCCACGCATACATCTCCTCGAACTTCGGCGGTCCCCATCATGAGATCGCGGTTGATGTTCTCGGGCTCCGACGAGCTGCTGCGCGCGCGGTACCGCTCCTCCTGCACCTGGAGCGTCCTCGCGATCAGCTCGGCACAAGCCAAGTCACAGGCATTTAGCTGATCGTGCGAGATCATGGTCTCCAAGAGGCGACTGCACAGCAAGTGAACCTCGACCCCAGCGTCATCTGGATCGAGCCCGTTCTCGCTCCTCCAGCGCGAATGCCGCGCGAGCGGCGTACCGCCGTGCCGCTGGATGTACTGCAGCACCCAGTGCGTGGTCCGCGGTCCTCTGACAGGGAAGTCGGCCCACGCGTGCTCCGACTGCGCCAGCAGGCCCTCGCGGAAGTCCAAGAACCGCTGGCCACGCCCATCATGGGTGGCGGCCAGCACGCGCAGATCAGGCGCGTTGGCGGCGGCGGGCCCGACGCCGACCACGGCAGGCGCCGCCGGCGCGGCTGGGGCAGCACCTCCAGCGGCGGCAGGCGCCGCGTCTGCGGCTGGCGCCGCCGCGCCCGGATCCACGGCAGGAGCGGCCAGTGCTCCCGCAGCGGCCGGCGCGCCAGCAGCCGCCGCCGCCCCAGGCCCGCCTGCGGGGCCGCCGAGGGCAGCCACGAGGCCGGCGAGACCGCCTCCTGCCGCGCCGGCGGCGGCGGGCGCGGCAGCGGCCGGCGCAGCGACCAGCGCGCCAGCAGCCGCTGGGGCCGGCGCCGCTGCCGCAGCCGGGTTGGCCAGCGCGTGCTGTCCGGCCGCCACCCCGAGGATATTGCCGGCCGCGAGATCCAGCATCAACGCTCCCGGGGGCGGCGGCGGGAAGCCGGCTGCCACTGCTCGCCCCACCGCGCCCCAGGCCTCCGCAGCTGTCGGGAGCCGCCGGAAGCGGTACACGTGACCGCCCGCAAGGCCTGGAGGGTTGGCACCCTGCCCGGCCAGGCGGACCACCGCCGCCACGTCAGGCCCCGGCGCGTTCGGCTCGTCGTAGTCGTCGAAGTCCGGCGTCAGGATGTAGCTGAGGGCCCCGCGCTCGCCCAGCGTGAGCCGCTCATGCCACAGCAGCGGCCCCGGCACACTGTACCGCACACAATAGAAGGATCCAGCCATCAGAAGTCACCGAGGTTGCCGATCCCCTGGCACCGGCTGCGGCCCCGGCTGGCCTTGGCCTGCTCGGCCGCGAGCTTGTCGAGGTCCGGCGCCACGCCCTGGTCCAGCGTCGGCTCGCTGAGGGCAGCAGGCCCCGCACGCGCCGCCGGCAGGACAGCCCGCGCCGCGCTCGAAGCCAAGCCCACCACCGCCTTCAGCGCCTCCAGCAGCAGGTAGGCCAGCAGCCCGATGCCCAGCTGGAGCGTCCAGCTCGCCTCGCCTGCCTCGCAGGCCGGGCAAGGGGTACACGGCTCAGGGCAGATCAAGCCCGGACCCCTCGCCTCCAGCGCCGCGGCCAGGCACTCGGACAAGGGCACGTGGGTGGCCTCGTCCTCGGCCTCGCTCGGGCCCGCCACGCGAGCAGCCCGCGCGGGCGGCTCCGCCTGCGGCGGAGGCGGGGGCGCAGCGGGCGGCGCCCACCACCAGCGCGCCAGGCCTATGGCGCTCAGGTGGCACAGAAGGTGAAGGCTGAGCCCAGATCGCATGGGCTCGGGCGGACCGCGCTCCTTCAAGACTTGAGCGTGGCAGTTGCGGCGGGATCCAGGATGGGCTATGCCTAAACATGTAAAATGTGACATATATATATATATGTGTATATATATGTGTGTGCGCGCTGCACGTGGCAAGGCACTCGACAGAAGGCGATAGCGATGCTTCCGCTGCGTGCAAAAATGCGTGGGAGCGTTCAGAGATGTGTGACACATGCAAACCAACGCGATCACACGCGTAGACATGTACGATGTTAGCAAGCAAGTCGTCTACAACGTCTACAACCGCTACATGTGCACGAACGCGTTGATTTCAGACCTAACCGCACCCGCTCGTTTAAACACTCGTTGCCACTACTACACAAAGATGCCAATGACGGTAAACTGCCGACATCCATGCGCTTTTACAGCAAAACCGGCAGACATATGGTCACGTGGGGGGCGCCCGGAGGGGGCCTGGGGAGGTGTCTCGGAGGACGTGGCCGAGCGACCATCTCCAAGCGGGCCCTTCGATGTGACGTTCGTCTGCTCTTGACACTACTGCTGCTGCTTCTGATGCTCCTCCTCCTCCTCCTCCTTCCCCTCCCCGTCCTCCTCCTCCTCCTCCTCCTCCTCCTCCTTCTCTCTCCTCCCTCCTCCTCCTCCTCCTCCTCCTCCTCCTCCTCCTCCTCCTCCTCCTCCTCCTCCTCCTCCCTCTCCTCCTGCTCCTCATCCTCCTCCTCCTCTTCCTCCTCTGCTGCTGCTGGCTAGGCCGCACGGAGAGCCAGACGGAAACCACCGCGGGCAAGCAGCTGGTCCCCCCAAGCGTGCAAGCCCGAACCTCCGTCGCAAAGAGCTGGGCAGCCAGGCCGACTGCGACAAACCCGCAGCGCAGACTCGTTTCTCGCCGTGGCAGCGGCACGAACTGGAGCGGGAGCAACAAAGGACGCAGAAGCGGGAGCAGGAGCAGAAGAGGAGAGGAAGAGCAAGGGCGAGTGCTGGCGTGCGCTGAAGTGCGGGTTGCCACAGAGAGGGGTGAGACGACCGCGCAGAAGCGACAGAGGACGGGTGGGAAAACAAGCGGGCCGCTAGCCTCGGGACAATAATCAACAAATAAGAAGTCCTTGGCTAGGCCTAAGGTAAGATTGAAACTTTGGGACCGTATGTACGGGTAGATTCCTGGCCTGATCAAGATTGTGTACGTGTTGATTCCAACCCCCTCGACGTCTTCTTGGGGGCGGAACGCCTTCGGCATGTAGTCAGCCATATCGCCTTCGAGGACACGGGCCATCTCGTCAGCGCTCATGTCTTGGATCTTCGTCTCCTCGTGGGTCTCCTGGCGCTTCAGCGAGAAAGCTGGGAGCCAGGCTCGACCGCTCGATGGCGCGATGAGTTCGGTGGCGGGATTGCCCGTAGCATTCCAAGCTGACAACTGTGGAATGAGGAAACACAACACGTCAATCTTGGCTTTGGCATCGAGCTGGTCACCAAGCACTTCAACAGTCATATCGCACAAAGCATCCCACGCAACACCTCTTCACCAACTGTCTCTTCTACTAGTCAAACGAAGCTCGCGACGAGCACAATACAAAACATGTTCGGTTATCCGGCGCCGTGCCGTAGAGACCCAAGACGGGGAACACGGACCGACACCTGGAACCCTCCGCCCCAAGATGACCTCCGAGATCGCCTGCAGTCCTCCTAAATGCCTCCCATCAACCCCAGGATGCCCCCAAGAGGCCAAAATAAGATCCCAAGGAACCCTCAATACTCCCCGAGAGGCCCCAAGACACAACATAAAACAACCCAAAGAGGTTTCCGAAAGACCTCCCAAGAGACCCCCCCTGGCATCCAAGAGGCCTCCGACCTAAACACAGGCACGATGGCGGGATGGGCCAAAAGTCTCCACGCATTTGTATGTATGTACGTATGTGTGTATGTACGTACGCAGGTACATATGTGTGTATGTATGTAGGCATGTCTGTCTGTCTGTCTGTCTGTCTGTCTGCCTGCCTGCCTGCCTGCCTGCCTGCCTGCCTGCCTGCCTGTCTGTCTGTCTGTCTGTCTGTCTGTCTGTCTGTCTGTCTGTCTGTCTCTGTATGTTTGTATCTATCTATCTATCTATTTATCTATCTATATATATATATATATGTACACACACGCACACTGACTTTCTGACCGCCGCCATATTAACGCAAGGTCCCGAGTGGGCCTTCATCTGGGTCTCTTGCAATCATTTTCAGGCCGTCTTGGGGGATTCATGGGCCGTCTTGCGGCCCTCTGGGGCCGTCTTGGTCCCTCTGGGCAACCTTGGGGGCCTCTTGTGGCTGCTATGGGGCGGTCTGGGGGCCCAGGTGGCTTGTCTTGGGGTCCTCCTTGGGCCGCCTGGAGCCCCTCGGGGGGCCCTCTCGGGGCCGTCTTGGGCCCCTCTTCGGCTGGTCTTGGGGCCTTTTTTGGCGCCTATTGGGCCATCTTGGAACTATTTCGGGGGCCTCTCGGTTGTCTCAAGCGCTCTGAGACCGAGAAACCGAGCATGCGAAAATGGGACAACCATATTGTTGGCCTCCCGGAGGCATCTGGGGCGTTTTCGGGCCCCTTTGGGCCATCTGGGGAGCTCGTCGGGCCGTCGAGTGGCCATCTTGGGCCCATTTTGGGCCCATCGTTGCCTTCTGGAGCCCTCCGGGGCCGTCATGGGGCCATCTGGAACTGTCTTGGGCTCCTCTGCGGGCCGCTCCAGAACCAACCTCCCCGGAGTTGCCCCAGGTCAGTTTTCCATGAACACAGATACCCACTGTATTAGTACAGCTATATACTGATTCTAAAACCACCCGCGCGCTACGCGCGCGCTTAGATTCTAGTCAACTCCGAAGACAGCATCCTCATTCTCAACCCCATCGTCATCCTCAGCCTCATCCCCATCCCCATCCTCATCCTCATCCCCATCCTCATCTTCATCCTTCTTCTGGTCAACCACTCTCAAGGCAGGCATGCATTCCCGGAGGCCACGAACGCGGGAATCGGGTCGTCGGTGTCGACGACGTCGTCGGCATCAGAGTCGTCATCGGCGTCGACGTCGTCGTTGCGGGCGGGGGAGAGGGAAGGGAGAAATGAAGGAGAGGGGAGGGAGGGTGGCAAGGAGAAAGGAAGCAGAGAAGCAAGAGAGGCAAACAGCGAGGGAACGGGAAAGGGAGCGAGGGATGGATCAGCGGATGAGTAGGGACTCCTCCTCCTTCGTTTCCCTTCGCCTCCTCATGTTGTTTCTCCTCCTCTTCCTTTTCCTCCTCCTCGGCATCCTCATCTTCACCCTCTGCCTCCGCTCCGCCTTCTCCTCCTCCTCCTCCTCCTCCCAATGGCGACAACAATGAGATGCCTGGAAGGCTCCCAAGGAGCATGTAGTTCGGGCCGCGTTGGGGCCCTCTTGGAGGCTCGTGGCCTTCTGTGGGCGACTTGGCCTCGCTTCCATCCTCGCCCCCATCCTCGCCTCTGGCCTCCTCATCAAGCCCGCTTTCCTCCTCCTCCTCCTCTTCGTCCTTCTCTTCATCCTCCTGACCAAATTCCTTTTCTGTCATCCTCGTTGTCATCTTCATCCCCTGCCTCTGTCCGATGTCTCTCTCTCTCTCTCTCTCTCTCTCTCTTTTTGTTTCTCTCTCTCTCTCTCGATTAATGTGTTTATGTCTCTCTCTCTCTCTCTATATATATATCCCTCCCTGTCGCTCTCTCTCTCTCTCTCTCTCGCTTTCGCTCCTTCTCTCTCTCTATTCCCTCTCTCTCTCTCTCTCCTTCTACTGATCCTCCTCCTCCTCCTCCTCCTCCTCCACCTCCTCCTCCTCCTCGGACTGGCAGCGACAATCGCGTTCTCGGAAAGCTCTCTGGGAACATGATTGGCTGCGGCCGTGTTCAAGCCCCCGTGGAACCCTCTGTAAGGCCTTTTCCGAGTGTCGAAGCTCACTTGGGGGGCCGTCCTTGGGGGTCTTCGGCCACCTGTCCTGGGGTGTCGAGCCTCGTTTGGGGGGCCGTATTGGGACCTCTTGGACCAGCTTGGCCGACCCCGGGGCCGTCTTGGCGCTGTCTCGGGGCGTGCTGGTACAAGTTGGAGAGCGTCTCGGGCAGTGTTGGAGCGTCAGCCAGCGCAACACACGACGCTAGGAAAATGCTTGAGAACCATCTCCTCCGAGGACTGGCGGCGACAATCACGTTCCTGGAAAGCTCTCTGGGAACATGATGGTTGCGGCCGTGTTGGGGCCCACTTGGAGGCCTCCGTCAAGCTTTTTTCGGTGTGGCGACGCTCATTTTGGGGGGCCGTCCTTGGGGCTCCTCGGCCACCTGTGGGGTCCTTTTGGTGTGTCGAGGCTCGTTTAGGGGGCCCGTATTGGGACCTCTTGGGCCAGCTTGGCCGCCTGTTGGGCCGTCTTGGCGCCCTCTCGGGGCGTGTTGGTGCAATATGGGGAGCGTCATGGGCAGTGTTGGAGCGTCAGCCAACGCAACAAACGACAATATAACAACTGCTTGAGAACCATCTCCTCCGAGGACCAGCGGCGACGAACACGTTCTGGGAAAACTCTCTGGGAGCATGATTGATTGCGGCCGTGTTGGAACCCTCGTGGAGGTCTCTGTGGAGCCCTCTCGAAGTGTCGAGGCTGATTTAGTGACTACCTACCAAACCATCCCAACCAAACCCGAAAACACGAATTTCGCTCGAATTTCGGGTTGGGTGGGTACGGGCTTCACATGTGTTTTTCCATGTTCCCGAGGAAATGGAGGGCAAATCGGGGCCTTCGGGTTGGGTTGGGGTGGTTTGATGGGCGGTGATCTGGGGGAGCGTCCTTGGGACTCCGCGGTCGCCTGCAGTGCCCTTTTGGGGCAGCCTTGGGCGTCTTGGGTCATCTGGGGCGCCTCTTGGGCCGATTTGGCGCCCTCTTCGTGCGTGCAAGGGCCCTCTTGGGGGCCTCTTGTGCCCTTCCCCGAGCGTCGGGAAGCAGAGCAGGCGACCACACGAGAAAGTCCTGGGACAAAAAACGCCCATGGCAAATCAGTAAGGGGGGCTCTCTCGGAGAGCACTTTGGAGCCCTCTTGGGGCGTCTTGGGAAACTCGTCAGCCGTCTCGGAGCAATTGTGGGCGCGCTGGGGGCGTGATGAACCACCTTGGAAGGCCCCTGTGGCGTGTGCGGGCTCATTTGGGAGGCCGTCTTGGGGCCTCGTGGGCCCTCTTTGGCGCCTCTTGGGCCGTTTCGGCGCCCGCCTGGGACTTGTTGGGGCTCTAGTGGGCGCCTTTTGTGCCGTCTCCGAGCGTCGAGAGGCGGAGCAGACGACGACGGGAACATCTGTGAACAACCAACAACACATATATGATTTCTGCCTCCTGGGGCTCAGCCTGACAACAATTTGGAGCCCCCCTGGGGCGTCTCAGAGGCATCGTTGGCCGTCTCGAAGCGGTGGGCGTGCTGCGGCCGTGTTGGGCCCTGTGGGCCTCCTGGAAGGCCCCTGTTGCGTGTCCAAGTTCATTTGAGGGGCCGCCATGGGGCCTCTTGGGCCATCTTGGGCGCCCGTAGGGCCGTCTTGGCGCCCGCTTGGGGTGTGTTGGGGCCCTCTTGGGCGCCTCTTGTGCCGTCTCCGGGAATCTGGCAGCGGAGCAGGCGACCACACGGAATCCTCGAAACACCCATGGCAAATGAATGATTGTTGCCCGTTGGGGCTCTCGGAGAGCAGTTTGGAGCCCTCTTCAGGCGTCTTGGAGGCCTTATAGACCGTCTCGGAGAAATGTTGGGAGTTCGGTGCCCCCTGGGTCCCCTTGAACGCCCTTTTAGCAGATCGAGGCTCGGCTGGCCCCCCGTGCGGCACTGTGGCACTGGTCCGGGGTATACTCATACATGTATATGTAGATATAAACATATACAGATGCATGTACATATACATATGCACATACCTGTACACATACACATACAATAACATATATACATACTCATACACACCTACATATACACAAATATAAGTAGAGACACCTGTACATACACAGTTACACGCACATCCATGTATATTGCATATAGATGTGCATATAGATGTACATCTACATATACACATGCCTACACATAATCATACACGTAAACATGTACACATACCTATACATAAACAGTTACACACCTACACACCTACACATACATATACATACACACCTACACATACATATACATGTACAAACACATGTACACCTGCATACATCTACATGCATATGCAAATATACACATAACTTCGTCTATACCTATACATCTACGTATACGCCTACATGTACATATACAAATGTATGCACACATACATATGCATAACCATACGCATATGCATATACCTATGCATCTACACATACACTTACACACACATACATGTGCACATACATGTTTGTGTGTATGTGCGTATGTAAATGTGTGCATGTATGTGTAGATATAGAGAGGTATGGCAACCAACGAGGGAGAGAGATAACACCAACAAACAGAGACACATAGAGAAATTAAGGATGAGAGAGAGAGAGAGAGAAAAAAAAGAAAGAAAGAGACAAAGAGATAGAGAGAAAGAGAGAGAGAGAGAGAGAGAGAGAGAGATTTTCTGATCGTCACCGTGGGGGCCTCCTGGGCCGTCTTGGGGTCCTCTGGGGCCATCTTGGTCCCTCAGGGTAAACTTGGGGGCCTCTTGACACCATTCTCAAACAGTGTGGGGCCGTGTGGGGCCCTGTTGGGCTGTCTCGGGGTCCTGGTGGGCCGTCTGGAGCCCCTCCTGGGGACGTCTTGGAGCGTCTCGGGGCCATCTTGGGCCCCTCTTGGGCAGGCCTGGGCTCGTCTTGGGGCCCTCTTGGGCTCCTATTGCGCCATCCTAGAGCGATCTCGGGTGCCTCTTCGGCCGTCTCGAGCGCTCTGGAGACCGAAAAACCGAGCATGCGAAAATGGCAGCGGCACCAAAGGAAAACCTATAATCGTTGCCTCCCTGGGGCCTCTTGGGAGTCGTCTTCGGGCCCGCTTAGGCCATCTGGGGAGCCCGTTGGGTCGTCGAGTGGCCATCTGGGGCCCATCTTGGTCCATCTTGGGCCTTTCGTGGCCGTCTGAGGGACGCTCGTCGGGCCCTCCTGAGGCCTCCTGGAGCCCTCCGGGGCCGTCTTGGGGCCATCTGCGGCAGTCTTTGCCGTGTTGGGCCTTCCTGGGGCGCTCGCGACTCAGCTTCCCCTGCTGCACCCAAAGTTTGGCCAGATCCGTTTTCTTTGAATAGGGAACCGATTGTATGAGTACAGCTCACCCTCTCTCTATAGAATAAGGATAGTAACAGTACTGATCAGGATAACAATCGTATACGCATACACGCATACACACATACACATATACATGCGTGCATGTATGCATACATACATGCCTACACACATTCATACGTACGTACATACATACGTACATACATACGTACATACATACGTACATACATACGTACATACATACGTACATACATACGAACAAACCAACCACCAAACAAACAAACAAACAACCAAACAAACACACAAGCAAGCAAACAAACAAACATACATACACACACACTTTTGGCGTCGCGGCGCCACGCGCGGCGACGGGACGTAGAAAGTCGGGTGCAGGCAGTGGAGCGGGCGCGTCTACAATACCTGCCGACCTACCTAGATACATACACACATACATATAAGTCAACATGCAAACAAACATACCTAATCCATATACTGATTCACTCGTGCATACATTCATTCATGCCACATACCTACCTGCCGACTTACTTACCTCCATGCATACTTGCATACAGGAATGCAGGCATACATGCATACATACATACAAACGTACATACACACGTCGATACATGCATTTATGGGTGCACACATGCGTACAAACATGCATACGCATACACACATACGTACATACAGTCATACAAACATGCATACAGGCGTACAGACATACATAAATGCATGCATGCATACATACATGCATGGATGCATGCCTATATACAGACACACATGCATTCAGGCTGCACGCATACATACATTCCGTACATTACATACAAGAAAACACACATTCATACACAAGTGCACTGATTATGTGATGCCCATATGAGAGAGTACAAGGCAGAAAGTAAATAATCGAGAATATAGAGGAGGCTACAGCGGAGAGAGTAGAAGGCAGAAAACTACGAATACTGGTCACTGGGCCAAGTTTGCCAGGTTCCATGGGCCAGCGGCCCCTGCCCACCCCCACCCTCCCAAACAACAAATAGTGACGCACCTTGATAGTGGGACCGGCGGGGGTCCCCCTAACGAACAGAAAACACTCGCGCAGGGCTCCGCCCCGCTTCCGACAAGGTGGCGCAGAGAAGAAGATACGAGGCCGCGCAGGGGGACCGGGGGGGAACTTCTAGCAAATCATTGCGCGGCGCTACGGCGAGAGCACGATTTTAGAAATCTCTGGCGCGGTCAACTTTCCAATGAGAGTAGCGGAGACGAAACATACGCCGCGGCGAAGCAACACTGCCACTTTCACGCAAAATCTGCACAGCGCTTGGGTCGAGAACAACATGTCGCCGGCGCGTGCGCAGCCCTGCTGTCGCTGTTCAGCGACTCGTCGAGCGAAAAGCATACATATTTGGACATGTGTGAATATATATATATATATATATATATATATATATATATATCTACTTGTATATTTGGTATAGGTGTGTGTGTGGATACATATGTATATATACATATATACATATATATAGATGTATATATATATATATGTACATGTGTATATATATACACACACGCGGCGTCCAAGAGGGGGCGCCACTCTCCAGGCGAAACCTGCACGGAACTTGGGCGATGGCGACAATCTGCCCGTCCGCGCGCGGCCCCGCTCCCCCAACGACTGGGTGAGTGAAAAGTATGCGCCACGTCCAAAGGGGAGCGGCAATTGGGGAGAGCGCGCGGGCGAGGAGAAGGAGGAGGAGGAGGAGGAGGTGGACGAGGGGGAGGAGGAGGAGGAGGAGGAGGAGGAGGAGGAGGAGGAGGAGGAGGAGGAGGAGGAGGAGGAAGAGAGGGAGGAGGAGGAGCGGCATCTTAAGGCAAACAGTCTGCGCGGCGCTTTGGCGAGAGCAACATGTCGCCGTTCGCGCGCGTCCCCGCTGTCGACGACTTTGCGGGCGAGAGATGTGCGCCGCACCCAGGCGGGAGCTCAACTCCCAGCCAAACGGAGCGTGGTGCCGAGGCGAGAGCGCGAGGGCGACATTTCGCAATGTCGCGCGCGACGCATGCGGCGTCGCACTCCTGCCATGCATTTCCATGCTGAGAGAAAAATGCGATACGATGTTGTACTTATCTTGATGGGTAAGATGGTAGGTCCAGGATGCTGCGGCTATCGGCTGGCTAGGTGCTACAGCAGAAGAAGCATTGAAACATAAAAAGCAGGGAGTACATGGAATAGAGTACAGAGCAGAGAGTAGAGGGCAAGGTACGTAGCAGATAAGAGTGGATAGTAGAGATAGAGTAAAGAGTAGATGAGTAGCCTGGCTCATGGGCTCCACACAGAAGGTCCATCATACCACACTTAGGGGTCCAAATACGTAGGGCTTCACGAGGGTCGCGCATCTAAGTATGCGAATCTGCTGCTTGGGCGCGCCGGCATCATTATTCACTAGCTGGGGCTAGTCTAGCCGAGAGACTGGTGCGGACAACAGTGCGCCGGAGTCAGAGTATCGAGCGAACTTGTCGTCCTCGAGCCAAACCTGGCCTCACACGAACGCATGGCAACAGCACGATGGGAAGTCCTTCCATACGTTCTGGAAGGTAGTCACTCGCGTTTAGCAGCTAGACTGGCCGTGCGACAGGCTGATACCACTAACAACTATCGGATTCACGACCTATGCTACATTCGATACTACATCTCCTGACTCGCAGTGAAAATGTGTGTCTGAATTCACATGAGCCCGACGCACCAATGAACAAGACAGAGACAAGTTATGATCACCACGCCACAATTCATCACGTGGGAAGTCTGACTTGGGAACAAGGGATACAATACGGTGGCATCCAGAAGCGCCTGTCGATTGTGCTGATCCTGATGTCTCTGACAGCCTACTTGGCTAATGAGCAGGCGCTCAGAGCATGCATGCGATGAACCTGAATGCCAGCACAGCGCTGATGCTGGACGATTCCTGTGTCGGCTCCGTCGCGGAATCCCCAATGCACCTTCCAGAGTTTAGGTCACGCCGCAGCTCCAGGCGCAGCTTCTAGCTCTTGGGCGCCCGGATTACCCCTGATGATTTTGGGACTCTGGACGCCCGAATCATCCGGGTAACTCGGGCCCGGGGTAAATCGGGTTCGGAATCCCGAAAAACGAACCCGAGCTCTGAAACTCTCCGGTGAATCAATCTCCCCTCTCCGCCCCAGCCCCCAGCCCCCAGCCCAAACCACTTCGTGCCTCCTGCCGCCCCTGCCACCGGGTGCCGCGTCGCACTGCCGCGCTCTGCGCCGGGGTCGTCGCCGAGATGCCGGCCTCGGCATCGACCCAGCCCCGAACCACCGGCCGCACATTGGGGAGCTCGGGGTCGCCAGGTTCCCCTCCCTCCGCCTCACACCCCCCCCCCGCGAAACGGACCCAGCATCGAGGGCAGATCGGCTCCTCGGCCACCGGCGTGGTGGTGGCCGCCGGGAGGGCGTCCTCGTCCGCGCGGTAGTCGAACATCTTCGCCACCATGCCGTCCCACTCGCCGTTGATGTACCTGGTCATCTCGTCGATGCTCATGTCCGAGACCTTCTTCTTGTAGGTGAGCATCTGGCGCGCCCCGCCCAGGGCCCCCTCACTCAGCACAGCCAAACGGAAGAGGGCGAGGGCAGGGAGGGAGGGACCCACGCGAGCGGAAAAAGCGACCCGGGTGAGCTGGCCCGAAGCGTTTCGCGATGCCCCCACAACTGAGGCCGGAGCCCCAGCTGAAGTGCCCAGACACGGAAAGGGCCCACCCCGCACGCTGGGTTGACAGCACGTTCTCGAGCGGTGCTGCCGCCGCCCAAGCACAGCCCCCCCCCGAAGCGGCAGCCACACGCTTCGGGTGTACACCCTGATGCCTTACTCTCACTAGCGCAGTTCGGCTGCCTCTCGCCCAGGGGCAGCACGAATGGCTGGAGCAGGTCCGGCTCTTCCGATCAGCCTACGCGGCGGGCTGGCTGCTGGCGAAGAGCGTGCGGGTCGCATGCGGGTCGCTTGCAGATCTCACGCGGGTGGGCTCCGTTACACCCAGCGCACCCCAGGCACACCAGGATCACCAGGCACGCCAAGTGTCCACGCACACCACGCACGATTGTCACCATTGGTAGCACCAACTCCCACCTGTCCATCACCTCCCTTGTCCCCTCCCTTGTGGCCCGTCCCCGTCTCTGCTTCCACCCAACCCCCACCCCTCCCTTCCGTCCTCTCCCTCCCTGCCTCTCGTGTAATGATTTCGGCATGCGCGCGTGGCCCGCATGGTGTGATTCGACAGGAGCTCGCGGGTGCGCGATGAGTTCTCGATGACTTCGCCACGCGCGCGCGTGCTCCCCGCATGGTCTCATTCCCGCAAGTGGGCATCGAGAGGGCTCCAAGGCGGCCCTGAAAGTCTTGAAATACCGTCGGGGCGTTGACCTAAGGAACTCTAAATAAGGAACGAGGCCCCTTTCTCCCACAAGTTGAACTTCGACTTCCCATGGAAAACCTCAGGAAAACCGGAGACAAACTGCAGAACAATCAAGGAACACCGAGTCCCTCCCCAACGAAAAGGGTTCCTTCTTCAGGGCCCCGACTGTACTCCACGCAGGCACTGCATTTCGGGCGCATGCGCGTCGAGGGCAGAGACCCAGAGCACTCACTTGGCCTGCACAGGCCCCATAAATTGCGAGATCTGCGTGGCTTCTTTCCCCAGGGAGGGCCGCCGTCAGTCCAGCTCCGCGGGCTCAACAACGGCACGAGTGAAAATGTGAAACTGATGGTGTTGGACTGGATGTTCTCTAGATCCCCTGGTTTCATTTCCACCAGTTGTAGGGCCTCAGGGTGCTTGTCGAACTCGGTGATGTCCACGTGCTTCCTGGGGCAAGGCTTCGGGCAGCCGTGCCGGTTGTTGCGCCACAGGAAATCCTACGGGAGGAGGGGGGGATGGGGAGAACGAGGAAGGCGTAGGAGGCGATTAGGAGGGGGATTAGGATGAGCAGAAAGAGGAAATTATCATCAACCTGTGAAAGGAGGACGACTGAAACCTCCTCGGGTGGCGCAGGACAGTACCGTTTATGCCACCAAGGATGGCCGCAAAAAAGTTCGCCCACAGAGGGCTCAGCCCTCAAGAACGCTTAAGACCCTAGTCCAAGGGCCACGCTGCATCTTTCCACCAAAGAATTGGGAGCGCTTGCCCTTACAAACCGTGAACTGCGCGCTGCTGGCTCCATGAGAGGAACAAGCCGTGGCAATCCCCGAGAATATTTCAAGCTGGACGGCGGCCGGTGGGGCTGACACTTCAAGCACACCACGAGCAAGGAATTGTCTGAGAAAGCCAAGGCGGAACAGCGATGTCTCTGGCGATAGAGGCCTGTGGGTCAACCAGAAACTTGTCGTAGATTCCAGGGAGAGGGATTTCCAGCCCACCAGGGTCACACACCTTTGGACACCCTCAAACAAATCTCGCACCGCCAGGATGTCGAAACGGGCGCCCACAAATGACCCCTTCCCTCCTTCCAGCGAAGCCGGGTCACCCGCTGCAGGAAGAGAGTGGGGAAGGGGAAAGAGGAAGAAGAGCAGAGGAAGAGGAGGAGGACGATGAGGAAGGAGGGCGAGGGGGAATATGGAAGGGACGAGGCAGAGGAGGCTGAGAACCCGACGGAGCAAGAAATCGATCCTCGCAGTGATGGCCGTGCGGTTTTGCCGGATGCCTGAGCCAGCGCCGTACTGAGGGTCGGCCGAAGCGAGGTCCTCCTGCTGACGAGCGGAGGTCCCCCGGCGCCCCCAGGCAGGCCCACAGGCTGCACGCGGCAGGCCTCCCCAGAGGGCGGCGAGGGCTTCTCGGAAGCCCTCGCGCCTCCTGGGAAATCCTGTGAGCCTCCCCTCGAGTCGGGCGTGTCCCCCCACAGGGGGATTTTCGGGCGGACACTAAAAACTCAAAAAAAAATCTCCAAAAAAAATATTCAAACATAGTGAAACAAAAATCGTCCCCAGACTGGTTCTTCACTATCTTTGAACGTTCCCCCTGCAGAGGGACAGGCCCGACTTCAGCCCTCTCCGAACTCGCAGGCGGCGTCTCCGAGGGGGCGAGGGCTTCTCGGGGAGCTCCGCCCGCCTGCCGGAGAGAGGAGCCCGCCCCCGCTCCCCTCCCCCCCCAGAGGGCCCGCCGCCGCGCATCGACGGCCTCCCCTGGACCCGGACCCCCTGGAGCACTGAAAAAACCACGACGGGAGGTTTCTCATTATCTTTGGCCTCTTTGGGGGCCCTTACCGGGCCCCGAGGCCGTCAGAAAACGACTCGGGACGAAGAACCGGTCCCCGGGAAAGGGTCCAGACTTCTAACCCAGACCCCCGACGTCATGATTTTTTCATGACGCGACCCCCAGAGGTCCCGACCCATTCCCCGGGACCGGTTTTTCGTCCTGAATCGTTTTTTGACGGTCCCGAGGCCCGGCGAGGGCCCCCGGAGGCCGAGAATAGCGAAAAACCTCCCGTCGTGATTTTTTCACGACGCGAGGAGGTCTGGGAAGGGTCACGCCATGAAAAATTCATGACGTCGGGGGTCTGGGGGCAGGGAGCCTCGGCCCGGTGCCGTCAGGTCGGGCCTGTCCCCTCTCCGGGGGGCTCTCGGGCGGAAGGAGCCAAAGAGCAGTCGCGCAAAAATGCCCAAGCCTGCTGAAAAAATTAGCCTGGCGAAGGACCCAACCATATGCAACTGTGAATACCGCAAGTGTGAATATCGTTTTCGGCGGCGCTACCTCTGGGTAGTGGAGACGCATGCGAACACCCCCACTCGGGCCTTCGGTGGAGCTCCCTATGGGGCTACGAAACGCTGCCCTGGGTGGGGGAACCGCATGCAGGCAGCCCCACTGGGGCCTTCGGTGGAGCTCCCTGTGGGGCCACGAAACGCTGCCCTGGGTGGGGGAACCGCATGCGGGCACCCCCACTGGGGCCTACGGTGGAGCTCCCTCTGGGGCTACGAAACGCTGCCCTGGGTGGGGGAACCGCATGAGGGCAGCCCCACTGGGGCCTTCGGTGGAGCTCCCTATGGGGCTACGAAACGCTGCCCTGGGTGGGGAACCGCATGTGGACACCCCCACTGGGGCCTTCGGTGGAGCTCCCTCTGGGGCTACGAAACGCTGCCCTGGGTGGGGGAACCGCATGTGGACACCCCCACTGGGGCCTTCGGTGGAGCTCCCTCTGGGGCTACGAAACGCTGCGTGGGGGAACCGCATGTGGACACCCCCACTGGGGCCTTCGGTGGAGCTCCCTATGGGGCTACGAAACGCTGCCCTGGGTGGGGGAACCGCATGTGGACACCCCCACTGGGGCCTTCGGTGGAGCTCCCTATGGGGCTACGAAACGCTGCCCTGGGTGGGGGAACCGCATGCGGACACCCCCACTGGGGCCTTCGGTGGAGCTCCCTATGGGGCTACGAAACGCTGCCCTGGGTGGGGGAACCGCATGCGAACACCCCCACTGGGGCCTTCGGTGGAGCTCCCTATGGGGCCACGAAACGCTGCCCTGGGTGGGGGAACCGCATGCGAACACCCCCACTGGGGCCTTCGGTGGAGCTCCCTATGGGGCTACGAAACGCTGCCCTGGGTGGGGGAACCGCATGCGAACACCCCCACTGGGGCCTTCGGTGGAGCTCCCTATGGGGCCACGAAACGCTGCCCTGGGTGGGGGAACCGCATGCGGACACCCCCACTGGGGCCTTCGGTGGAGCTCCCTATGGGGCCACGAAACGCTGCCCTGGGTGGGGGAACCGCATGTGGACACCCCCACTGGGGCCTTCGGTGGAGCTCCCTATGGGGCCACGAAACGCTGCCCTGGGTGGGGGAACCGCATGTGGACACCCCCACTGGGGCCTTCGGTGGAGCTCCCTATGGGGCTACGAAACGCTGCCCTGGGTGGGGGAACCGCATGTGGACACCCCCACTGGGGCCTTCGGTGGAGCTCCCTATGGGGCTACGAAACGCTGCCCTGGGTGGGGGAACCGCATGTGGACACCCCCACTGGGGCCTTCGGTGGAGCTCCCTATGGGGCTACGAAACGCTGCCCTGGGTGGGGGAACCGCATGTGGACACCCCCACTGGGGCCTTCGGTGGAGCTCCCTATGGGGCTACGAAACGCTGCCCTGGGTGGGGGAACCGCATGTGGACACCCCCACTGGGGCCTTCGGTGGAGCTCCCTATGGGGCTACGAAGCGCGTGAGAGGTGTGCCGAGAGCAGAGGCAAGGAGGGGGAGGAGGGGGAGGAGGAAGGAGAGGAACGCGGGGCACCGTCTCTTCAAAACGAGGACCCAACACCACAGGATGGTTGGGAAGGGGGCAGCGGGAGGAGTGGACGCGGGGCGCTGTCTCTTCAAAACGAGGACCCAACACCACAGGATGGTTGGGAAAAATACAGTAGTCCCACAGTCGTCCCCAGGCTATTTTTTGGGACTATTGGGGGCTATTCCTCCTGCACAGGGACAGGCCCGACTTAACGGTGCCGCGCCGGGGAGGTGCAAGCTGAGCAGCGGAGCGAACGCGCAGCCGAAACCACGCGCTGCGAGCACCGGGAGCAGCACCCGGCACCCCGACAGGGGCAGTCCACCCGCCGACGCAGCTGCCCCTCCATTGACCCTTCCCAGTTCTTCGACGTGGTCGCTTCCGGAAGCCATGAACCAAGAAAACGCTGCCATCTCCCGGGGGCGCATGGTTTACGTCCTTGTCCACAGCGCTCCTCCCCCGATTCAGCGAGCTCTGGAAATTTGGCGGAGGTCTCCTATCAAACAATTCTGCCGGTTCACGGCGCCAGGGAAAGCTGCCATCGTCGCCGCTGGGAAGGAAGCAGGTGGAGGAGGAGGTGGAGGAGGAGGAGGAGGAGGAGGAGGAGGAGGAGAAGGCGGAAGAGGAGGAGGAGGAGGAGGAGGAGGAGGAGGAGGAGGAGAAGGCGGAAGAGGAGGAGGAGGAGGAGGACGAGGAGGAGGCTCGTTCCCGAAACTGGCTCCAGGTCGGAGTCCGCAAGAGGGCAGCGGGCAGGAGCCCGCCGGCGAGAGGCACCCTCCGCTCCGGGCCCCCGCCCCCGCGCACCCCCGGCCGCTCTGCAGGGCCGGCACTGCGAGGGCGGCCCCCGCGGTGCCCCTCGAGGGCCACCCCGGGAGGCCGCTGGGCCCCGAGGGAGCTCAGGCTGAGGTCGGGTGTGTCCCCCTGACAGGCGGATTTGGGGCGAAAGATGGAAAACAATCCCATAGATATTGAAGACACCTTCTAAACTAGTCAAAAATAGCCCCAAAATCGTCCGCTGGCTATTTTTGACTGTTTTTCGATACTCCTCCTGTGGAGGGACAGGCCCGACTTCCGTCCAGACCGCAGCTACGACCGCCCATGTTGAGCTAAAAAAACTTCGAACTGACAGCTCTCGTCTCATGACTGGCCTCGCGGGCCAACTGGCGGAGCTGGCGTCACCGAGCTCAGTGGAATGTACTTCTTGGGTTTCCTCCTCTGGTCCTCCTCCCCCATTTTGGACGCCCGAAATGGGCACGGAAAGAATGGTACAATGCCCAACAGCAAATGTTGCCCCAAACCAACAAACAGCGGCCGCTGTTGGGCAGGCGGCCTTCTGTCTCGAATGGATACAGGCCGCGGCGGCGGGGACAGCGAATCCGGTTCAAAATGAACAGGAACTGCTGTTGGGCATTGTACCCATTCTTTCCGTACCCATTTCGGGCGTCCAGACCCATGGGGGGGTGCCAGGGGCGAGTCCTTTTCCTCCTCCTCCTCCTCCGCCTCCTCCTCCGCCTCCTCCTCCGCCATCTCCTCCTCCTCCTCCTCCGCCTCCTCCTCCTCCTCCTCCTCCTCCTCCTCCTCCTCCCCCCTCCTGGTCGGCGTCCATGTCTTTCAGGGGCGGCACTGGCCGCCAGGCCTTCCCGATCTACTACTTGGGCTTCTTGGAGCGGTGGCCCCTGCCCTGGCCCATCGTCTGCTTCCGCCGGCGTCCGCCAGCCCTCCGCCGGCGGAGGCGGCCTTTTTTTTCTCCGGCCGCCTCCCGCCGTCCCTGCGCCGCTTCTCGCCGAGGACGAGGTGGCAACTCCTTCGATCCTCGATGGCGCGGCCCTTGCTGGAGCGCCTCGATGTTGTCTGCGTCTGCATCACCTGCGCCCCTAGACTCGTGTCCCTCTCTGCTCCCCGCGCGCAATGCGCCAGGCTCCCTCTTGCTCGTCCCCTTGGATGGCACAAGTGTCAGGTCGGGCATGTCCCCCTACAGGCGGCGTGCTGCTGCGGAAGAATCGGCGGTGGACAAACCTTCCTTTGGTAAACCACCCTTTTAATGAAAACGGCCTAGGACCGAAACCGACGGACCTGGACCCGCAAAAATGACGGCCGCGACGCCCTCTCGCGAACCGAAAGCGGCCAATTCGCTAATCGACGCGTCAAGGTAGGAGGTCTATCAACCTCCGAAAGAAGCACCAGGCCTCCCGTGAAAAACGAGGGAACACGACACGCGGTTGGGCTGCCACGGGCGGCGTGTCACATTGATACTCTGCCTCTGCGGGGGCAGCGGGCGGCCACAGCCTCATCGAGAACACACCCTGGCAGCGGTCGTCAGGGCACCGAGACCAGCCCAGCACGCTGGTTGTGGTCGGTGTGGGCGTCCAAGGACGACCACAACCACAACCAGCGCGTTCGTGTCCAGGTCGGTGGGCTCTGCCCCCTGGGGGGGGCCCTCTGGAAAACATTGGCTCACTTGTGGTCGTTGTTCTTTGCTGTGCCCAAGTTCTCCCTCCCGAGCTTGCCACAAATAGGGGAACGAACAATGACAGACACGTAAAAACTCAGGGGTCCGCGAGGATTTCTCGGATCGGCGCTGACCCCCCTCTCTGGCGCGCGGAGCGCGCCAGGGGCGGCGCAGGAGGCGCCACCAGGGGGCCCCAGCGTCGATCCGAGAAATCCGCGCAGACCTCCGAGTGTTTATGTTTATGTCATTCTTCGCTCCCCTGACAGCGCCCCCTGGTCCTGGACCTTCTCGAAGCTGGAGTGCTCAGACAGGCCCTCGTACATGGACGGGTGCTTCCTCCGACGGTCCCGCGCCGCCCGCACGGAGAGGCCAGCGCTGCCGGGCAAGCACCCCCCTCGTCCTCTTCCTCTTCCTCTTCCTCCCTCGAGTAGAGCTGTGGCCGAGGCACCTCCAGGACTGGCCCACACCGTTTCGTTGTTTTTGGGGGGGAGGAGGAGGGAGCACCACCACAGAGCTTCGCCTGACTTTGGCCTCGACCGCTGTGCGAATCAAAATGTCGCGCCAGGCAATCCGGGAACACCACACGAGCCGACCTGCGATGGACAAGCTGATGCGCTGAACCGTGGCCTGAAAGAACAACGAGCGTGCCGCATTCAATCTGTTCATGTCTCCTGTGCACGATGTCCTCCGCAGACGGGCGCGTTCCAGACCGCTGCGGAGAGGGGCGGAGAAGAGAAGCGCAGAGCAGAGGGCTACGCAGGGGTCTGGAGGAGGAGGAAGAGGAGGAGGAGGGAGGGAGGGAGGGAGGGAGGGAGGGAGGGAGAGAGGGAGGGAGGGAGGGAGAGGAAGAGAGGAGAGGAGGGAGGAGGGGGAGGAGGAGGAGGAGGAGGAGGAGAGGAGGAGAGGAGGAGAGGAGGAGGAGGGAGGGAGGGAGGGAGGAGGGAGGAGGAGGAGGGAGGGAGGAGGGAGGGAGGGAGGGAGGAGGAGGAGGAGGGAGGGAGGGAGGGAGGGAGGGAGGGAGGAGGAGGAGTAGGAAGAGGAGGGAGGAGGGAGGGAGGGAGGGAGGGAGGGAGGGAGGGAGGGAGGAGGAGGAGTAGGAAGAGGAGGAGGATGAGGAGGAGGAAGGGATAATGGGGAGGCAGGGGTAGAATCAAAGGGCGAGGACGGCGAGGGCGGGGGCCGCCCACATGGGACCCAAGTGGATGGGGTCGGCAGATCACTGCCCAGGCTTCGGCACCCTCGGCTACCAGCTGCGGGAGCCGCTGGGACGCCGCACTTCATGTTTTTTTCCCTCCAGCCTCGAGTGGGAAGAGCCCGCGCGTCCTCTGAATCGCAATCGTTAGCAATAATATCAGAGTTATTCGATACAGTATACAGAGCGGCAACTTTACAGGCAAAATCGAGCACAGAGCAGCACAAAAGGTCACTTGAATAATCGGTCGGGGTCTAACGTTTTGTCGAACTCATCGGCATGGGACGCCGCACCTCATGAGTAGCTCCTTTTCCCCTGCTCGATGATCTCCAAGAGGTCCCCCAGTCGCACTGCCCGTCAAGCAGGCAAAAATATTGGCACCGGAGACTCCCTTCACTGCCCCGCCCGTAGCGTACGCTGTGGACCGTTATCGTGTTAGCAGTTGCGTCCCTCGAGTATTCTTGCATCGAAGTATGGCTGATTATGACGATGATCCTTCGGGGCCCCGCGAGCCAAACATTCCAGGAGTTGTTAGGGAGTGCGCCGCGTCTTCCAAGGTTTGTCGCGCGACTGCTTCGCGAAACTCAGGAGCGCAGAAAGGTGCAAACGCGGTCCAAGATGGCTACAAGGTGCACCAAGGCATCCCAAGCTGGCCTCTACGACCCCCCAAGACTGCCTGATGTGGCTCGAGATTGCCTCCAGGGTGACCATCATCTTCTCCCAGGACAGGTACACGGATGCCCTGGAGCAAGGAGGTCCCTCAGGGCCACATTCAATGGGAATGACTCCTGCAGAGCACCCTCATAGCAGAATCCGCCGACGCCCGCTTGCCTGGGTGACAAGGCGTGTGAGACATTTAGCCGTCTCCCCCCCCCCCTGCTCCCTTATCTATTTATCTATTTATTATTTTTTAAGTCAGGCACCATAGAGGACCACTTCGTGAAATATTCGCCTGCTCGTGATAAGTACGTATACTACACTCGAGAGCTGACAGGTCACTACTGCCTCGCTGTCACGCCGCAGAGCGTGATCCCCCCTGCCCCCCTTTCCCGGGATAAGAAAAATCTCGTTCAAGGGGAAGGGCGGTGGAGAGGTTCCCTCTACGAACTCGGCAGCGCACCTCGGGGGCCCTCGGAGCCCTCGAAATCCACCCTCCGTCGCCTTCCAAGATGCCCAAGATGCAGACAACTCAAGGAAGGCTAGAACACGCTGGAGACGCCGCAAGAAGATTCAAGATGGCGTCAAGGCGGCCCAATGGCTCCTAAAACACAACAGAAGAATTCCAAGAAAAAACCAAATATAACCTCGAGAGAACATAAAACATGAAATGTCTAGGGGTGTTGGAAAGGTTTTCATGTTCTCGCCTTGCTGTCTTCTGAAAGCCGAGAATCAGCTCGAGAGGCCCCCTAGATCCGCCCAAGGCTGCCCAACAAGACCCCAAAGAAAGCCCAGAGAAGGCCCAAGAAGGCGTCAAGACGGCCCAAAAAGCCCTCAAGACGGCCCAAGCAGCCTCCCAAGAGTCCCAAGGGCCCAAAAGAACTCGAAGGGGCCCCAAGAGCCCTCCCCCTCAAGATGACCCCGAAGACCTCGAGCATGCTCCCAAAAAGCCCACAAGAGGCCCCAAGATAGCCTCCAGAAAGCGTTCAAGAGCCCCCCCAAGACATCCAATATTATCCTCAGATGATCACCCCGCGCCCCTGCCGCAGTGTCCGACCCGAGATGCCCTGCGCGGTGAGATCCCCGCGCCTGTGCCACACGACTAGGGCCTCGGAAACGTGCCCCACTGCATACAATATTTCGCGGGCGTGGAGGATCGGGCACTGGAGCGTGCCCCGCGACGAAATCTATACATATCCACTGCTTCCTGGCCAGGCCGAACCCAGCAGCGGTGTATACGCCACGCCCTGTATGCACAGCTCCTGGGTTCAGGATGGGCCTGGCCAGGGAGCAATGGATCTGTATAGATTTCGTCGTCCGGCATGGAGGATCGGGCACTGGGGCGAGCCCCGCATCAAACCCAACTGTGGCTCGCAAGCCAAAGCTTCACCCAGGTGCTGCGCACCCGCGCGCTGGGACCGTACACGACGACGCAGAGCCAGGGAACGCAGCCCCGAACGGCACCACTCCACGAAAGCCGTGCGCCTCCCTGGGGTACGCCGGGCGTGCGCGCAACGGACGAGGGAGCGGGATGGGGGAAAACAAAAACTTTCGGAGGTCGACCATGCGCTAGAATGACCTTTCGCTGGAGCGACCTTTGGTGCGGGCCCATGGGGCCCCCAGGCCACCGAACGCGGCGCGGCAGTAGCGTCTTGCGCGCTTGGGTTTGGTCCCACAGCCCCCAAAAAGCCGCACACCAAAGGTCACTCTTACTCAAAGTCACTCTTACGTGTAGCCGAGGAAGTCCGCGCAGATTTCTCGGACCGGCGTTGCGCCAGAAGCGCCGCCAGGAGGGTGCAGCGCCGATCCGAGAAAGCAGCGCGGGCCTCCGAAAGTTTACGCCTATACAGCTTCAAAGGTGCCCAGGGAAACACAAGCAACAAAAACACAATGTCCCGGATTCCATATAGTACCCCATAGGTTTGGGATGTTCCTCTTCCCCTCCACATCCCATATTTCCATACACGCTCATGAGAATCGACGTTTATGTGTGTGTGTCTGTCTCTATCGATCCCTCATGACACTTGTTCTTCTTCGAGGAACGCAGCCCGCACCCTGTGTTTGTTTGGGGGGATGGCGGCGGCCATGGAGGGACAGAAAAGACGGAGCGGGGAAACTTGGGATAACTTCTTCCGTCGCAGCGCGTCAAAAGCAATCCGCACGCGCGCTCTAGTACCCTTACGTTGCTCCCGTACTCCAAGACCACATCCAAACATAACTTCGATCACCCGGAAAAGTATCGAAAGAGTGTCGAAACAGTGCCGAAACAGTGTCGGACGAGTGTCCCCCATGGCCCAACACGTGACAACCCCCAGGTTTCGGTACTGCTCTGGTGCTCGAAATTCTTTCTGGTGGTCAAGGCTAAAGTAGGTTGGATCATCATAACAGTAGTCTGGGACACGTGGCGCACTCATTGCCCTGCGGCGCGAGGTGGGGAAGGAGGCGGACGGCGTCTGCGGACAGCAGGCGGGGGAGGAGGGCACTCACGGCACGAAAAACTCCAGCAGGAGTGGCCGGGGCGGCGGGCCACTGCTGAGGCGACCTGGCAGTGGACGTGGAGGGGCATCGCGCCCACACCCAGGGGCTGAGGCAGAGGTTGCAGGCGCTGAAGACGTAGACCACCTCGAACCAGTACAGGAGGAGGAGCGGCGAGCGAGTCCACAGAAGCGGGCGGAATCCGAGCGTTCGTCAAGAGGGCGTGGGCGACAAGCTTTGCTGCAAAAGTACGGCGCCAGCGGGGTTTGGGAAGACCCAAGCGACCGCGGGGGCTGGTCAAGCGACCAGCTCGCTGCAACAAAGTGCATCTTGCCGTGCTGACCTGATGAAAGCAGAACTGCAGGTCGGCCGGCTGCAAAGCTGCCGAGGGCTGCGAAGCAGAACTGCGGGGCCCACGCCTGGCAGGGCTGGCGCCCCCTGCAGGGGAGGCCAGCGCGCGCCTGTGGCGCGCTGGCCCGCTGAGAGGACCGGGGACAGGCTGCAGCATACGCACGATGACTCGGGGAGCAAGGTACTCCCAGGCCGGAGCCGAGCCAGTCTAGCTACCGGTGCTGAGGATGAGGAGGAGGAGGAGGAGGAGGAGAAGGAGGAGGAGGAGGAGGAGGGGGAGGAGGAGGAGGAGGAGGAGGAGGAGGAGGAGGGAGGAGGAGGAGGAGGTGGAGGAGGAGGAGCGGGAGGAGGAGGGAGGAGGAGGAGGAGGAAAAGGAGAGAGGAGGAGGAGGAGGAGGAGGAAGGAGGGAGGGGAGGAGGAGAGAGGAGGCGGAGGAGGATAGGAGGAGGAGGAAGGAGGAGGAGGAGGAGGAGGAGAGGAGGAGGAGAGGGGAGGAGGAGGAGGAGGAGGAGGAGGAGGAGGAGGAGGAGGAGGAGGAGGAAGGGGGGAGGAGGAGGAGAGGGGGGGAGGAGATGAGGAGGAGGAGGAGGAGAGGAGGAGGGGAGGAGAGGAGGAGGAGGAGGAGAGAGGAGGAGGCGGAGCGGGAGAGCGGGAGGAGGAGGAAAAGGAAAGGAGGAGGAGGAGGAGGAGGAGGAGGAGAGGAGAGGAGGAGGAAGAGAGGAGAGGGAGGAGGAGGTGGGGGAGTAGGAGAGGAGGAGGAGGAGGAGGAGGAGGAGGAGGAGGAGGAGAGGAGGAGGAGGAGGAGTGAGGAGGGGAGGAGGAGGAGGAAGGAGGAGAGAGGAGGCGGAGGAGGAGAGGGAGGAGGAGGAGGCGGAGGAGGAGGAGGAGGAGGAGGGGAGGAGGAGGAGGAGGGAGGAGGAGGAGGAGAAGGAGGAGGAGGAAGGAGGAGGAGGAGAAGGAGGAGGAGGAGGAGGAGCGGAGAAGGAGGAGGAGGATGAGGAGGAGAAGGAGGAGGAGGAAGGAGGAGGAGGAGGAGGAGGAGAGGAGGAGGAGGAGGAGGAGGGGAGGAGGGAGAGGAGGAGGAGGAGGAGGAGGGGGAGGAGGAGGAGAGAGGAGGAGAGGGAGAGGAGGAGGAGAGGAGGAAGAGGAGGAGGAGGAGGAGGAGGAGGAGGAGGAGGAGGAGAGGAGGAGGAGGAGGAGGAGGAGGAGGAGAGGAAGGGGAGGAGGAGGAGGAGGAGGAGGAGAGAGAGGCCCCCCTAATAGATGGCGACATCAGAACCCTAACCCCCACCAACCATCGATTCTCCTGAATCGATGGGAGGCGACGGCAGGGTTCGGATTTCGCCACGTGTCCGACGAATTCCAAGCTCTGCCCCCGCCGCCCCTCGAGCTGCCTGAACCGTTGATCGGCGAGGGCAGGGTTCGGACTCGCCGCCGATCCGAACAAGAGGCGTCCTGATCCCCTCCGAGAGGCCGTAGGACACCGCAGTGTAGCACACCGAGCTGCTGACCGCGGTCATGCAGCCGTCTTCGCCCGCCGCGGTCCGCGCGGCCGGGCTGCTGATCTCCTGGGCCGCGCCATCCGAGGATGCGCGTGCACGCAGCAGGAGGGGAGGGCAACGACATGCGCGCAGAGGCGGCGCACCAAAAGAGACGGCCCATCCCATGGCTTGCTCGCATGTGTCTCACCCCTCGCGCCACGCTTGACATGTTGCCGAAAACTGGTGACCCAATATGTCATTGATGCTGAACTCTCCGCTGAAGCAATGCCCGCTCGAGAATAGCTCGCTCCTCCGCCGCCGACTCGCCATCCTGGAGGCCAGCGCGCAGCATGAAGAATAGGACGAAGGGGGAAAGGAGCAAGGGCAGGTGGTGGTGGTGGTCACTGCATAAGGGAAACAAGTAGTGAGCAAAGCAACGCACACCACGACCACGACGACGCCGACAACGAGATCGAAGAAGTCGGGGCGCGTAGACGCTCCGTACCGAAGCACGGACGAGGGAAATGGCCCACGCCGCAGGTTCGGTGAAACGACGCATCGTTGAGCGGTGCTGCGGCGAGCAGGAGCAGGAGGAGGGGGGGTGAGCGGCAGCGGGATCCGGATGAACCACACGTCGTCCTCGCTGCCCGAGGGCCCGAGCCGTACGCTGGGATCCAGGACCTCGCCAGGCAGCAGGGCAGGGTTCCTGCCGCGAGCGACCCCGGCGTTGGCTTCTGGCACCGCGTGGGTCGTGCAAGCTGGAACGAGCGCCGGCGTTCCGATCGCCAGGGCGCTCCCTCTTGGCCGATTCTGGATCACGTTCGGCGTTCCACCTTTTCAACGCCCTCGAACGCCCGCGGCGGGGGTCGTCGCCGCGCCGGCACGGCGCAAACCTGCCGTGCTTAGGCCTCCAAGGAGGCCGAGCGTGGACGAGAAAGGGTACTCTGGACTGGCCATCGCTCGGACGTCCATTCCCCGTGTTTTTGTTCGGTTTCGTGCGTGGTTTTGCGCCAAATGATCAAGGATGCTCCCCGATGGTCCCCGCCGAAGGAAGAATGCACACGTCCGAGCGATGCCAAGTTGAGCTCCCCCTCCGTCCCCCGCCCCTGGAGAGCCCGCGGGGCGTGGCGGCGCGACTCCCCGGGGCGATGCCGGCCGGGAGAGACGTGGGCGACGGTTGAGTTACCTACCAGACCACCCCAACCCAACCCAAAGACCCGAATTTCGGGTTGGGGGGGGTATTGTGGGCTCCATGTGTGGTTTTCCAATGTTCCCCGACCCCCCCCCCCCTGGAAATGGAGGGCACATTGAGGCCTTCGGGTTGGGCTGGGGTGGTTTGGTGGGTGGTGACCGGTGGGAGCGGAGGCTACGACGCTCCAGCTCCGCTCGGCCCACGCCCTATAAGGAGCCGGGCGGCAGAGGCGGACCGGAGGGCGGTCGGAGAGCCGCAGGCGGCGACGCGCTCGAGGTCGGCATTCGTGCACCGGGGGGGCGTGGCGAGAAGGGCCTCGCCCTCGCGGGTGGAAGGAGTTGCCAGCTCTTCCTCGGCGGGAGGCGGCGGAAGGGCGGCGGAAAATCGGCGGAGGTCAAACGAGGCCGCCTCCGCCGGCGGGAGCCGGCGGAAGCGCGGCGGGAGGCGGCGGAAGTAAAACATGCGCCCCCAGGAAAGGAAGACGTTTTTGGGCTCAGGCTTTCCGAAAGCGCCCATCTGGGGCTGGCGGGGATGGCTAGGTTTGTTCGGCTGGCTGTAAGTTGAGGGCCCGCCTCGTGCATTCAGAGGAGGCTGGCCAGTCTCTGCGCAGTGAGGCGCGCATGTGGAGTCGGGCAGAAGCGGTTGCGCGGGCGTCCTTGGTTGCTATTGCCTGTTCCCAGAGCATGCAATGCAGTGTTGGAGAACGTTGGCGCATCCCTGGAGAGATATCAACCCTGTAACCGCCTATGCTTCTAACGCACGGCGGACGCATACGGGCCGATCGGATCGTGTTTGTCGCCTATGCAAATACACCGAGTGAAGCCATGGGTGTTGAGGCATACCCCAATCTGCACAGTCGTGCCGGGCACTCGCCCGAAACGTGCAGAAGCATATCGTCACAGTTGCCGTCGAGTGCGCACAGCAGGTGGCACTGCATACACCCCCATGTGCGGATATGCGAACGCCAAGAAGCATGGCTCCCACTCCTGAGAACCTCACGATCTCACTCGTCGATCTTCGGTGCCAGGTAGAACTGCAGGTGGCCATTGTCCGCGTTTTCGAGACTGTACCTCACGAGCAAAGGCGCATCTGGGCCAAGGCCGAGCTCCACGGTTCCGCACAGTGGCGCAGCCTTGGCGAAATTGACCAGGTAACGCAGCGCGAAGGTGGCAGTTACTGGCTCATGGATGGTGAGACTAACCTTCTCCTCGGGCTTCTCTGCCTCGCGCGGCTTAAGCATGACGTTGCCAGAACCCATGTCGCCTTGAACGCTGAAGGTGATGCCCTCCTTGGTGGCCTTTAGCTGCATCGTCTCTCCGAACTCCTTCAGGTCGCGGCAGATCTTCTGAAATTCCGCAGAAGGCAACTTCGCCACCACTTTGTAGTGCTGCTCAGGAATCTCCATGTGCTCGCTCTCGATTTGCATCAACTTCAGGTCGAAGTCGGCGATCCGGTCATCCTCCCCGCTCTCGCACTGGAAACTCACGAGGTCCGCGTCATTTTGCCAGCGCAACTTTAGCGAGTCGCTCTGCCCGCACATTTTCAGGATCTTTCCCAACGAGTCAACGTTCATGCCAAGCGAGGTTGGTCTGTCGCATTTGAAATCAGAGAACGCGGACTCCCGCAGAAGCAGCGAGACTAGGGCCACATGCGAACTATCCATGGACTGCACCTGGAGCCCCTTCTCCGAGCAGTCGAAGTTCACGTCCTTGCAGAGGTCCTTCATGGCGTCCACTACTTTCTTCAGCAGCATGGCCTGCTGCAGCTGGGCCTCCAGCACCATCGCGAAGAGGGTAAGAATACGCCGAAACTGGTGGAGGAAGGGCAGCGCTGGAGTCCTTGAGCCAAAGGCTACGGACCCCCGCTCCATCAGGCGCGCTTTAGAATACTCCCACCACCGATCTGAGCGTAGGTGGTCCAGAAGATGACTATTCCAACCCCCTTCCACGCATTCGGGGAGGGGTTAACCACTACGCATACCCCCTCACCTGGGGCCTGGACTTGGGTTTCGCGAGATGTCTGAAGGACCGTTTTGACCTTAGATGGCTCCATGAGATGGTTCACGATAGTTTCCAATATGCCTCCAAGAGGCCTCAAGACCGCCAAAGACGGCTCCAAGATGGGCACTGATTCTCCCAATCAGACCTCCGATGGGCCAACATGATTAAAACCCAATTGTGATTCAATGCTGTTGGCCATCTCGCTGTTGCGCTTCAGATTGGGTTTGAGGCCTCCAGGTGGCTCCAAGATCGCCCAAGAGAGCCCGAAGAGGGGGGTATAAAAGGCGCCAAGATGTTCCAAAAAGCACCTAAGAGCACCCTGGTAGCGTGATGTTTCGAGCTCCGACCGAGAGGAAAGTGGAATAAGCGCCGCGTCTTGTGTTATTCTATGTCCTCCAAGATGGCCCGAAGAGGGCCCCCAGAGAGTCCTGAGAGCTCCTCAGAAGCTCCCACAATGGCCCCGAAACCCAAGTTGGCCCACAAAAGCGTCCAAGGGGCTCTTGCAAGGCCAACGACGACCCGCCAGCCCTCACTGCGGGGGGGAAGGCGTGCGGGATGACGTCCGCAGGGACCCGACCGTTGCTCACGGCGCGCACCCTGGGAGGAGCAGGAGGCCAACCGAGGGGACGAGAGGCGATCGAGCAACGAGCCGCGGCACGAGCGCGAGCGAGTGCGAACGCAACGAGCGGGCGACGGGGACCGAGCGGAGCGCTTCTGCTTAGGGGGCCGACCGCTCGCCGAGGAAGCCGCCGCCCACCGAGGGCGCCCCGCGCGCAGGGCTCGTCGGATCGCCCGCGAGGGTGCCACCAATTTGGAGGTCGCTTGGGGGGCAGCGTGGTTTCCAAGGCCAAATCCCAATACGCTAAGCCGGCGCGCTTGATCCGTCAATAACAATCCTTACGACGCCCATTCGCAACAATTTCGGACCTTCGGTTTGCTCTCACCGACGATTGGGCTGCTTAGGTTTGCTCTTACCCTACGAGCATTGCCTCTCCTCCGTCGCCCCATAAACACAGATCGCGTTCGCTGGCCCTCAGCGAGCTGAAACCACCAGTCTCGGCCGCGTCCGACCCATCGAGCAGAGGGAAGGAGGCGAAGTGCCGCCGCTGGCTCCAGGGCGTCCTGCGGCTGGCTCTGGAAATAGGCCGTGCAACATCGGTGTCCGAAGAGCACACTGTCCCCCTGAGGCGATCCCTCCGCGAGGGCCCCCACTGCGCACGCTTTCCCGCTGCCGGGCTTCCTCGGCGCAAGCTATCCCCAAGGTGGGGGATAGCGTGTAACAGATGAGCCGGCGGCGCCACATCGTACGCCATCCTTCCAACGCCAACCGTGGATGCTGCCGTCGCACGTGCTACAGGGAGCTCGCAGAAGCTAAACAGGCATCCCCCTCTAAATTTGCCCCTGACGTCTGCCAGAAACCTGCCCTCGACGAGCTTCCCTTCGACAAAAAAAACATAATCTGCACGGGCCTGAATCCATCGCGAAGCCAGATCGCTCGAGCTCCTCCACCTCACCCCGGCACCAACTCCGTGGGCAGGGCGCGGAGGAGGCTGCGCTGTCTGCCGAAGCGGGGCGAGGGGCCAAGTATACTGCAGAAGCCGGCACGTGCACACGGCGCGGCAGAACCGGGAGCACTTGCCGTCGAGACGGCGCGAGGGGTGCCTCGACGAGCCCCCCTTGCCCCGGGATCCAGGGCCGCTGCGGCGGGCACTGGCCGAGGCTCTTCCTGCCCCCCGGCCTCGGCTGCACGCTCCCCCAAAACGGTGCGCGCACCTCGGGGATCCTGCTTGGCTCTAGGGGAACTGGGCTGGTGTCTCTCGCCGCGGCCGGCCTCTTCCCTTCCGCGCGGCCGCCCGTCGCCGCCTCGGTCGACGCCCGTCGCCACCGCGCAGAGCACGCCCGTCGCCACCGCGCAGAGGGCTGCTCTGTCGCCGCGGCCGGCCTCTCCTCGCCGCGTGGCCGCCTCGTCGCCGCCCGCCGCCGCCTCGTCGGCGCCCGTCGCCACCGCGCAGTGGGCGCTGGCGTGTCGCCGCGGCCGGCTCGTTCTCGCCCCGCCGCCGCCCCGCCGCCGCCTCGTCGCCGCCCGCCGCCGTCGCCCCGTCGCCGCACCATATCGGCTCTCGTTTTTTTGTTCCCCCCCCCCCCCCCCCAGGGATTACCCGCTCCCTTTTTGTATTTCAGTGTACATATGACTCTGCCCCATCGTCCATCGTAACATCCCAGCCGAGCCGGTATCGCCCCCCCCCCCGTCATGCCCTGCAAAAGAACTATGGGCGCGCACTCGTTTCTCAGAAATCATATGATGATGTTTGATTCGGTTGTTCAAAACGTATAACATAAGTTTTCAAAAACCCATTGCAACAAATGGGACGAAGTGCGCACGCGCGCGTCGTCGGGCGCGCATGCCGAAATCAATAAAAAAACACCTTCGTAATTAAAGAGTGCAAAATCGAGCGTCGAAATAAACATGTTAAACAAACAAAGAAACATAACAAAGGGTTTCGCAACACGGATTTCAAACAAACAAAAAATGCGCGCACTATTTTCAGAGAGTGCTACCAACTTCGCGCGCGTATGTCGAAATCGCTCGAAACCACTTCCGCGCGCGCCGTCGCGAGAGTCCTTTGCAACAGATGGGACGAAATCCACGCGCGCGCGTCGTCGCGCGCGCATGCCGGAATCCTTCAACAACCGTCGGTTTCGTAAGGGTTTCAAAACCGAGTGTCCAAATCAGTTGTCAAAGAAGCGTGCGCTCGAGCTCTTGCGAACTCATCAGAGAACCAAGCACTTGTCAATATTTTCATGGGCTTCTGCCAAGCAAGCCAACAATCACAACGCAACAAGCATAATCCTCACAACGGATTCTCACTTCAGCCACGCACCCAGGGACAATGAATGACCGTTCGGCCCTCTCACTCTGATGTATAGGGAGATGTATAGAAAAGGGAGAGAGAGAGAGAGAGAGAGAGAAACAAAAAAAAAACGAGAGAGCATGTGGAGCATGGGGGACGTTGTGGAGCGAGAGAGGGAGAGAGGGGTAGAGATAGACAGCGAGAGAGAGAGAGGGAGGGAGGGAGGGTGGGGTAATGTAAAGAGAGTGAGGGAGTGAGGGAGAGGGAGAGAGAGAGAGAGAGAGAGAGAGAAATAAACAGCAAAAAGAGCATGCGGGCCATAAGGAGTTTGGTGTAGAGAGAACATGCGAAGCATAGGGGGTGGTGTAGAGAGAGACGGGGGAGAGAGAGAGAGAGAGCATTCGGCATTCGGAGCACAGGGTGTGATGTAGAGAGAGGGGGGACAGAGAGAGAGAGAGAGACAGAGGGAGAGGGAGAGAGAGAGCGGGGGTGAGAGGGTAAGAGAGGGACTGGGGGAAGGCAGAGAGGAAGGGAGGGGGGAAGGGGTACGCACAGGCGGAGAGGGAGAAGGGGTGGGAGAGGGAGGAGCGGATGGAGCCCCGACGCCCAGCAGTAGGGCCGCATCCTGCGCGGGGTGGCAGGAACGGGACGTACTGAGGGTCGCCTAACTTCGCGTATCGCGCCACGCGATGCGCGTCGCGCGGTCTTCTTGGCGCCATCGAGGGGCTGCCTTGGAGAAGGGGTGCCCCCCCAACCCGAGCCGCGATGCGCGAGGCGCGAGTACTCTTCGCGCCCCATGGACCGAGCTGGACGGTCGTTGAGGTTTACATTGCCCCTGGGGCTCTGCTTTCCACAGCGACGTAAGAGAAGACGGACAGCCTGGTCGCCGTTCTCCTGCGCCTGGCGCTGCGCATGGTGCGACGCATCAGAGACAGGAAACGCGAGACGAGTGGGGCGATAAGAGCAAGCGGCACTGACAACAACACCCCCACTAATACTGACCTGTTCCCCTATCACCCCCAAAACACCTTTTCCTCCTGCCTCCCCTCCTCACTCATCTCCCATCCACCCTTCTCCTCCTCCTCCCCCCTTCATCGTCATTCCCCCCTCTCCCTCCAACCTTTTCCCCCCCTGCCCCCGCTCCCCTCCCCTTCTCCCCTTCTCCCTTTCCCTTCTCCCCGTCCCCATGCCTGTCCTGCTCCTCCTCCAGGAAGAAAGAGGGGAACACTGACAGAGGGTGAGAAAAGAAAAGAAAGATAGGACGGAGAAGGTCAAGTTCCGGGCGGCAATGGCAGAAGCCGCGTCGCTCTCTCCCACCCGCCCTGCCACGGGCCGCCACCCCGTGGACGGCACGTGGGGGGGCTCAAAGAGAAGCGGGGTGCAGCACGCTCGCGAGGTGCACTATGCGCACTGGGTGCCCGAGTGACCCAAGCGTGCGGAGCGCGCGTGATGCGCCAGATGCGCCACATGCGCCCAGACTGCCACGTGCTCCAGGCGCGCCAAGCGCGCCACGCGTGCGACGCGCGTGCGACACGCGCAGGGTGCGCCGCTGCGCGAGCCAGCGTCCCTCGAGCAGCACGCCGACGGGCCAAGGGTCTCCGTCAGAAGCCGATGCAAGGTGGAGGCGGGGTGGTCGGCGCAGGGGGGAGGGGGGGGGGAACAGGTGGGGAGGGGGAGAGAGAGGGGGAGGGCCCCAAAGGTAGCCCACGACGGGCCCAAGACCAGCACGAAGGAGACGGGTCCTGAGGGAAACGGGTCCTGGAACCGAGATCTTTCCCCCAGCACGTTATCTGAATCCTGAGCTGTCTTCTGACAGTCCCGGGGCCAGCGGAGGGCCCAGAGTGCCCGGAAACGATGAAGAACCTCAAGACCCGTTTCCTTCGTGGCGACAGGACAGCCCCAAGCCGGCGCAAGACTGAGCAGGCCAGTGCCGAGTTTAGCGTCGAAGCCTCGGGAAGCTCCCATGGGACGGAGCAGGAAGGCCCCGACAGTCCGAGCCAGCCGTGGCATTGTCGGCTCCAGGCTGGGAGCCCGCGGCTCTCTGGACCTGTCTCGAGATCTCGCCGACGACCACGGCGAGGTGGCCACGAGAGAATCGGAAGCGGTTCGGGGACGATGAGTTGGCTCCTCCTCCTTCTCCTCCTCCTCGTCCTCCTCCTCCTCCTCCTCGTCCTCCTCCTCTTCCCCCTCCCCCTCCCCCTCGTTCTCATGATCCTCATCATCCGCATCATCCTCACCACGGCTATCCCAGGCCTAGGGGCACGAGGCGCCACACGCGACGGCCTCCCGTGCCCCTCAAAGAATCGCCGCCCAGAATGCTGGGCTGGCACGGTGGCCGGACTTGCCGCATGCAGCTGGGTCCGCCGCCCCCTGTCGATTCATCGCAGGGGTGCCTGACGTGCTAGATGATTTCGGTTCTGGTTTTGGTTCTTTTCGAAAAAGAACTCCCCCTGGGTCTCCGGCGCGTCCTGCTGGGGTCCCGGGAAGATTGCCCAGGAGCTCAATCCAGGAAAAAAAAAAACAAGACGGCTCAAGATGGCCTCCAAGATGGCCTCCAAGATGGCCTCCAAGATGGTCCAAGATGGCCTCCAAGACGGCCCAAGAGAGGAGGAGATGCCTCCAAGTCCGCCCAAGAAACCTCCAAGACGGCCCAAGACGGCCCAAGAGGTGCCCAAGAGGCCTCCAAGACGGCCCAAGAGGCCTCCGAGAGGTCCTCCAGGAAGGCCCGAAGAGGCTAAAATCATTGATGTTCCTTAGGTTGTTTTGCAAAACCAAAAAGTGTTTCGTGTTTGCTCCTTTTCGACTTTCCGACGACCCAAGACGGCCCAAGAGCCCCCAAAGATCGCCCCCAGAACGCCCAAGAGGCCTCCAAGATGGCCTCAGGACTACCCAAGAGGCCCTCAAGACCGCCCCAAGAGGGCACAAAGACGACCCAAGAGGCCTCCAAGACGCCCAAGATGGCCTCTAAGACGGCCCTGGAGCACCCCAAGAGGGCCCCAAATCGGCCCAGAGAGGCCCCCCAAACGGCTTCCGACGGCGTCAGACGGGCCAGGAGCCCACCAAGATGGCCGAAGTTGGCTCGAAGCTGGCCCAAGACGGCCCAAGAGGCCTCCAAGAGGGCCTCCATGAAATGAAGGCCAGAAAAGGCCAATAACATTGATTTCCCTTCGGTTTTGAATGATTTTGACATTTGCTTCTTTGCGGCCTTCCGACGGTAAGAGACGGCCCAAGAGCCCCCAAAGATCGCCCAAGAGGCCTCCAAGATGGCACCAGAACGGCCCAAGAGGCCCCCAAAAAGGCCCCAAGAGGCCCCCAAGACGGCCCAGGAGGCCTTTAAGACGCGCAAGGTGGCCTCCAAGACGGCCAACGAGCATTCCAAGAGGGCCCCAAGTCGGCCCAGAGAGGCCTCCCAAACGGCTTCCGACGGCGTCAGACGGGCCAGGAGCCCACCAAGATGGCCGAAGATGGCCCAAGATGGCCCAAGACGGCCCGAGAGGCCTCCAAGAAGGCCCCCAGGAAGGCCCGAAAAGGCCAAAATCAGCTTTCCCATGAGTTTTTGAAGGATTGTGGCATTTTTTTTTTCGGCTTTCCGACGGCCTGAGACGGCACCCAAGTGCCCCCAAAGATCGCCCAAGAGGCCCAAGACGGCCCCAAGAGGCCCCCAAGACGGCCCAAGAAGCCTCCAAGACGCTCAAGATGCCCTCCAAAAGACGTGCTCTAAAAAGGCCCGAAAAAGGGTCAAAATGGCCTCCAGAGACGGCCAATATGACCTTCAAGATGCCCACGTGTTCCCCGAAGGCTTTCCAAACCGACTCGGGGAACAAATGGTCCGATATCATGGCAGGTCTGGCCTCAACGTTCGGCCACACAGGCGCTTCCAAAAAGGCAGGGGGCGGCGGTGATTCGCCGTAGGCGTCTTCGATAAATCCATCGACGAGACGAACAAATACAAGATAGGCAGGCGCCTCGGGTGGAGAAGCGCGCGCATTAGCCAGGAATGTGGCCAACGCCGAGGAAAGAGCGCCGTTATGGACCATGAGAACATGCAGACGTGTTTGTTCGATTGTTTCATTGCGTGCTCGGGCGGCTGCTCGAGCGCAAGCGTGCTTATTGCTTGCTGGATCGCATGCGCGCGTGCTTGCATTATTGCAGCTCCTCGTACTTCGAGTCCACGTGGTAGAGAAGAAAAGACCCCCTATTCACTTGCAATGATGTTGTCGCCCCCCGTTGCTTACTGATGGATCCTCTGTACATATTAATTGTCCTGCCGTCTCTCCCTCTCTCTCTCTCTGACTCAAACTTTGGCAATGCCTCTTGCTTCTTGGCCCGGTTCCTCGAAGAAACACCCCCGAACATCCCAGTCCCAATGGCCTGAAGCACCTCGTCCGATCTCTGGAGGGAAGCAAACACCGGCCACCACTGCCGGCTGCTAAGCTGAAGTAGAAAAGGGGGGGAGGGGACGAGAGGTGGAGTGGAGACGGAACGGAGACAGGAATGGAATGGAATGGCATGCGGGAAACTACTCACCCCGACGGGCTGGAGCGGCGACGAGGAGCCCGACTGGTGCACCTCAGCATTGGCCCTCCCAAGAGGGGAAAGCCGTGGCCAAGGCCCCGCCACCCCCGCAGGGACGGAGACCAACGGGCAACCGAACGCGGCCAACAGGGCCGACCCCAGGACCCCGCGGCCCGAAAACGAAGCAGCCCCCAGACCGCTGGCGCCCCGAGCCGCGCCCAGGCCCGCCTTGCCGCCGCGGCGGAAGCTGCTCGGCCACGGCCTCGCAGTTCAGAGCTCCAAGCAGGCGCGCTCGGCGCCGATGCCCTCGAGCGCCGCGTGGGGGGGCGGCGGCCCGATCAGCCAACCGGCGTTCAATGCAACGCCCCCCCCCCCGCAGAACGGGCCGCGCCCCCACCGAGTGCTCGGCCTCGACGTCGCCGCCGATCTTGCCGAGCATCTCCAGGTACCTGCCCTGCCACAGGAGGCCGAGCGCGTCGTATGCGCTCTGGGCCTGGCTGCTCCAGCCAGCCGCAGTCCGCGGCCTGCCCTCGTCGACCCTGCCGCGCACCTTGGGGAGCGCGTTCGCGGGAAAGAATCGCACCGCCCTCCGCAAGTGGCTTCACACGATTAAAATCGAGCGCGCGAGGGCAGGCGCTAAGAGATCCTTCTCAGCCGTGCTCGCATAGCCCCACCGAACGAGCAGGTCGAGCGGCAGGTGGTCCAGCACTTAATGTCTCCTCGAGGACCCTGCCGAGGACCGGGCGCGCGAAGTAGCGCCGGCGGCCGCCCAGCTCCCACGGGCGCCCGAAGCGACAAGCCCGAAGATCAGCGCCGTCCACGCAGCGCCCCGCCGCGGGCTCGATGCGCGCCGCCGTGGTCCGGGCACCCGACCAGGCGCGCAAGACGGCCGACGCCCACGACGCAGGCACCTTCAGCAGCGCGACCCAGAGCCGCTCCCACTGGATGTCCACGATCCACATCGCGAGCCCGGGCCACCAGGTCACCGCGCGCCTGAACAGCAGGGCCGCCAAATCATCGGGCAAGAGCGCCCGCTCGAGCGCCCTCTGAATGGTAGCCTGAATCTCCTTTCTCCTGGGCCTCTCGTCGCGGCCCTCCAACGCGCGGATGCCCCCCAGCTTCTTCCAGGCCTCCTGCAGAGCACAACGGCCGGCGACGGCGACCACCCCGCCGCGGCTGGCGAACCAGCCGGCTGCGTCGCAGAGGTCCTCCGCAAAGGACTGTCGCCTCCAGTGGCCTGGATAACGCTGCCGCCTGCCGATGGCCAGCAACGAGGCTTCCATCATCATGGCGCCCATCTTCTGGACCCACTCCTGCCAGTTGCGGGACCAGCGCCGCGCGCACGAGAGCGGCCATCGCCGCCATCACCGCCGGGCGGATGGGCGGGCCACCCCAGCGCCCCAGGGAGAACCAGTCTCCCCAACCCCAGACGCTGCGCGCGCGGCGCCTTGAAGGTGGAGGCAATGACCGCCCGCCCTCAGAGAGCGCCGTCCTTGGGCAGGGGGGCGAACTGCGCAAGATTGCCCATCGTCGGCACCGCGCGCTGGTTGCAGAGTGCGCCCGTCTCCAGCGACGAGGCGCCAGCGCGCCCCAATGCATGGCCGCGCCCGCGCCATGTCTGCCGAGGCTTGCTCCGCGACGCCTTGTCCGCGACGCCAGGGCCCAGGCGCGCCCCGAGATAGTCGGCCCACGGTTTCACGCTAAAGGACTGCTACTGTGGCATTTGCTCCCTCAGCCACGCCTGAATGCGCTGCACCGCGTCCGGGCCGAAGGGCCCCCCGACTGGCACCGGGGCGCGCTTGGGCGGCTTGCGCTGCAGACAGAAGATTTCCTCATAGATGGCACAGATCCGCTCCAAAGGGAGCGGCGACATCAGTTGTTTGAGGGCAAGGCTAACATCGCCCGCGCAGCCACCGGTCGCACCGCGAACCTCCGTGCCCACATGCATGTCCAAATCCGCGAACAGCGATGCCGCGCACAGGGCGAACGACACCCCCGACAACGGGCATCCCTGCAGGGTGCTGGCCTCCAGCGCGAGCAGGAAGACCAGCTGCCCATGCGCCGTGCCCAGGCAGTGCACGCCGGTGTAGAACCCCTGCAGCATGTTGACTGCGCCGTCAGGGATTCCCGCCCCCCCCATCGTTTCCATCATGAACATCTGGCTGATGCTCAGGAAAGCGCGCTGGAAGTCAAAGAAGGCGAACACCGGAAGCCGGGCGCGCGGCCCGTCCATCGCGGAGCGCACGCGCGCCGCACCGTCCAGCGCGATCACGTTGCGTCCGAAGATGCACCCCTTGACGAAGCCTCTCTGCGAGGACGGCACATCCTTCCGAGCCGCCCGTGCCAGCTTGTTCGCCAGGACAGACGCAATCACCTTGTTATCGGCGTTGCGGAGGCTCAAAGGGCGCATGTCCCCAGCCTCCCGCTGCACCTCCTCCCCGTCCACGTCGAAGTCCCCCTTCGGGATCAGGAGGGCCAGGCACTCGTTGAACTCCACGGTCATGCCGTTACCGTCAGCCATCCACTGCGCTGCCTCAGCCAAGAGGCCAGCAGCCCCCGGGACCTGCCGCCAGAATTCATAGCGCAAGCCGTTTGGCCCAGGCGCGCTCTGGCCCAGGCTCCTGGCAAAGCTTCCTCTCGAAATCGCGCACTGTGGGAGGCTCCAGCGCGCCGAAATCCTCGCGATGGATCCCCATCCGGTCGAGATGCGCATGCATATTCCTCTGGTCGACGGGCTTGCGCTCGAACACCTGGCCCCAGTGCTCCTTCAGCCCCTGGGCGATGCTCAACTCGTCCCTCACCACGTCGTCCCCGACGACGAGGGCCTGCAAACGCACCTTCCTGCCCCGCGGCAGCCAGAGCGCCGCTCTCCGCGCGACGGTCCCCAGCTTTCGCTCGCACTTCGCTACGTCCCTCCCGTTGACGGTGTTCTCGTGCTCCTCAATGAACTGTTCCTCCTGCTCGAAGTGCCCCGCGTGGAGGCGATCCGAGCAGCACTGGAAGGCAACGGGGTCGCGGATAACCACGCGGCCAGGCAGGGCCTCCAAATCCAGATAGCCGGCGAGCGCCGAACAGGTTGCCACCACCCAGGCCGCCAGCCGCGCATCCTGGCGCCATGCCGCGCGCGCCAACGAGCGCACCAAATGATACTGTGCGCCGTGAGCAGCAGGATCCTCAAGAAGAAGTCAATCCCAGGTGCGCCGCGCAGCCTCGCGCCCCAGCTGCTTGAACAGGTGCAGCTTCGAGGGCGCCGCGATGCCGCTGAGGTCCACCTGCTCCAACATGAGCTTCAACTCCTCCACGAAGAAGGGCAGGCGAAAGAGGTTGGGCTCGATTGGACCCTCGGCCGCGGGCGTCGCCGAGCGCGGCCGCAGCCGTACCGCAACAGCTGCATGATCACTGATGCCACTCGCCTCCACAACCTCAGGCGTGCCGGCCAGGCTGACCGAGCCCTCCAGCTGATTGAAGAGCCAGCCAGGGCACCCGACGTATATGTGGTCGAGAATGGAGACTCTGGCCCTAGCGCAGTCCACCCGGGTCGGCTCCTCGTGCTCGACCTCGATCAAGCCAGCCAGCGCGCGCCGCGCCATTGGGCCTCGAGCGGTCGGTGAGCTGGCCGGCCGCCCAAAGGGCCTGACTCGCCGCTCGTCTGTAGGGACGATTGGTCCGGCGCCCGCCGGGCGCGGCCGTTTAGGTTGCCACCCTCGGTCGCTGCATCCACACCAGGGCAGAGCGGCCGTGCGGAGCCTTCATGGATGTTGAAGTCCCCCACAACAACCAGACAGACACTCTGCGGGCGCGCCTGGACCTCACGCTCGTCGATGGCAAGCCGCTGCTGGAACGCACCCACCATCGCAGCGGAAATACCGTGGTTGTGGATGTTCTAATGAATCAGCTTGAGATCGGAGTTCGGGATGGCGAGCTCCGTACGCAAAATCCTCCCCTCAACAATGACTTCCCCCTCAGACAAAACTGGTGCAGGTCCCTCCACGCCGCTGCTGCACGATGGCCAAAAAGTTGCTACCCCACCAGTGCCCGCATCACGATGAGGCGAGTGCCGCACTTGCCAGCCAGGCCCCATCCTAGCCAACGTCCGCGTTAATAACTCAGTGCTGCAGTGCGCCTCCTGCACTGCCACCACCGTGCCAGGGACCAGCAGGCGCTTCAAATACCTCCATTTCGTCATCGAGTGCTGGCGGTCCCGGCACTGCAGCGCCTGGGAATTCCACGTGGCAAAGCGGAAGCCGCCGCCCGCAACTTGCGGAAGCGAGCGACTGGGCTAAAAGCTATACTATGTATATATATACGTTTGTGTGTGTGTTTGTAACTATATTTATTTATATATATGCGTATGTGTATATCTATATATATATATGTTATATAGATATGTATATGTATATTTGTATATATATATATATGTATATATATACAAATATGTATTCCGTATGTATATATATATATATGTATATATATACATATATATACATATATATATATATATATATATATATATATGTCGGCGGTGCCCGGTGCGGAGCGACCCCCCCCCTGGAATCGCTCGTCCTGGGGGTTTCGTGCCGGCCGCACCGCCAGTGCAGGCCGGTACGAACCCCCCCGGGATGCACGAACCCCCCCGGGGCCGGTGCGCCCCAGTACGAAAACCCCTCGGGACGCCCCGCCAGTGCGCCCCGGTACGACACCCCCGGGATGGCCAGAGCGCGGGGCAGCGCCCGGGCAGCGCGTGCGAGCGTCCAGCGGCGGCGTCGGCGGCGGCGTCGGCGACGGCGGCGTAGCTGGGGGGGGGGGGGGGAGGGGTTCGAACCGGTAGTGACCCCCCCCGGTTTTCCGGAGGGGGGCGGGGAGGGGTTCGAACTGGTAGTGCCCCCCCCGGTTTTCCGCCAGCAGCGGTAGAACACGCTCTCTCTCTCATATATATATATATACATACATACATACATACATACATACATACATACATACATACATACATGCATACATGCATACATACATACATACATACATACATACATACATACATACATACATACATACATACATACATATGTATGTATGTATATATATATATATATATATATCCCATGCAGAAAACGGGTCCTGGACCCCAGGGCCTTCTCCAAGACCAGTTCTTCATCCTGAGTCGTTCTCCAACAGGATCAACCTGCATCACGACCCAGAGATCCGATGTCGTGATTTTTTCCATGCGTGGTCCCCAGAAGCTTCGACCCATTCCCCAGCACCGGATCCTTATCCTGAGTCGTTTCTCGACGGTCCCGAGGCCTGGTAAGGGCCCCTAGGGGCCGAAATTTGCGAAAAACCTCCGTCTTGTGATTTTTTCAATGCGTTGGATCTCTGGGGACGACGCGCAGGCAGTGCCGGCACCCACAGATCCCGCGGCCTCTGCGGGCGCCCGCCCTGCCACCCCCCGCAGCTCGGGGCCCCCCCGGCGACGCGGGGGCGCCCGACGGCGGGGGAGCAGGGCCCTCGCTCGTGCCCCTAGCCCTGCTGCCCCCGAGCCTGCAGGGAGGAGGAGGAGGAGGAGGAGGAGGAGGAGGAGGGAGGAGGAGGAGGAGGAGGAGGAGGAGGAGGAGGAGCCCCAATCGTTGCCCCCATCCCCCCTGTCGCTGCCCCTCAACGGTTTGTGGGGGGGGAGGGGGGGGGGGGGCACGGCCTCGCCCTCGCGCAACGGGCCCGAAGAACAAGCGGGCCCAGGCCACGCGCGCGCCTCGCCGCAGGAGGCCGCCCTCCTCCTTGGGGGGGGGGGGCGCCTTCCGCTGGACCCTCATGTCGACCACGTGGTGCTGCGCCCACGAGATGAACTTCATGGACTCCTTCACCAGCGCGTCCCGCTGCGGGGCGCCTGAGGGCTGGACGTCGAGGGTGGGGCGCGGTAGCTGCGAGCGCCGCGCTACGAGCGCCACACGAGTGCTTCTGAGCAGCAGGGCGGCACTGCGTCCCTGAGAGCACCACAGGCGCGTGAGCGCAGCGCTGCCTCGGGAATGCCACAGCATGCCTGTGGGCACACCATAGCACGCCTGTGTGAACACCCCAGTAGCCTGCGAGCGCTGCAAGACGCGCGTGGTCGCCACGGGACGACCGTCGTGACGTGATCTTGGTGGCCAGGGCCGATCACGCCCGTTCTTGCCCAGAGGGGGGAACAAAAACGGGCCCCAGAGAGCGAGGCAACAAGAGAGAGGGAGACATGAGCGGGCCGCGAATCACCCGTTACTCAGCGCTTACGCTTGCTGGCGGAGGACGAGCTCGGGCAAGAGGAGAAACGGCAGAGGCAGGAGCGAGAGCAGGGGCAGGAGCCAGGGTTGCTCGCTCGAGCGAGTGAGCGGGCCCCGCTCACTCCCACCTTCCCTCCCTCAACATGGGAATCGTGCCGGCACAAGTGGACATCGGGACTGGCGCGCGGTTCCCACTCGAGGACCAGAGGAGGCGCTCGCGCGCGCGTGGCCCCTCCTCCGGCCACTCGGCGAGGGAAGCCTGCCGACCCTGCCGGCGTCTGATGGGGAGTCCTGGGGTGTGGGCTGCACGCAGGAGTGATCTTTGGTGCGCGGCTTGAGGGGGCCGCGGGGGAGGCCAAATCAACGCGGTCCAATCGCGCCGGCCACTGCTGGCGGGGCCCCTGAGGGCCCGCACCAGGGGCCACTCCCGCGAAGGGCAACTCTTGCGCGTAGCCGAGGGTGGTCGCCCTGGGGCGGTCCCGGGAGACGGCTTTCCCTTCGAAGCTCTCCCCCCCTGTCCCTGCGGCCGCCTGGGCCTGTGAATGGGAGGGGAGGATCAGAGAGCCAACCCTGACGATAGTCCATAGGATGGAGACGATGGATACTTCCTCCTCTCGCAGTGAGGGAGTACTAGCACGTCAACACGTCAACTCCTGGACCGAGAGGGCAGCGAATGAGGAGAGGAGGTACGGTCTGGATTTGCTGCGTAGCGTGTCGCAAAGGCGGCCCTGGCGACACGCTTTCCCTTACGAGTGGATCGCGTGTCGCTCTGTTCCGCGGGGCGGGAAGTCGGAAAAAACTCGCTACGTTGAAGCCTCGGGACGGCGACGTGGATAGCGTGTCGCACCGAGGCGCAGTGGGCCAGAACTGGCGGAGCAACAAGCTATCCCACCGTTCCCGACCGTAGGTAAGAGAGCGTACGCACACACACACACACAATGAGCATCGTTTATCCGACCTCCATCCCCAGCGGCGTGGCGTGGGCCGTGGGCCCCACTGGCCGATTTACCCCCCTAGATGGGGATATAGGCCGTTCCCTTCGGGTCTCGAGGGGTGCATCCACAACTGGGGTGGTCATTTGGTGGGGGCCTCGAAGGGGATGAGGATGGGGATGGGGGTCGGTTATGCCAACGATGCTGACACGAGGCTCTCAGAGCTCGCCAAACCGAGGGCGGGCAGGAACCACCAACTCGGGCAGCGTCCCGCCGCGCCCTCGCCAACCGGCTCCTGCGGGCAGCTCGGCTCCAGGCGTGGCGCGGCGGGCGTTCTGTCTGTGCCCCCGCTGCCCAGCTGGGGCGGCTCGACTGTGCAGCTAGATCGCCTCCTGATCCTCCTCCTCCTCCTGATCCTTCTCCTCCTCCTCCTCCTCCTCCTCCTCCTCCTCCTCCTGCTCCTCCTCCTGCTCCTCCTCCTCCTCCTCCTCCTCCTCCTGCTCCTCCTCCTCCTCCTCCTCCTCCTCCTCCTCCTCCTCCTCCTCCTCCTCCTCCTTCTCTGCCCAGCTGGGGCGCCCCTGCAGAGGTGCTCGCCCCCACGAGGCGGCTCGACCGTGCGGCTGGATCGCCCGGCCCCGGCAGGAGCGCGCGCACCAGGGCCCGAGCAGGCACAGGGCGTCCAGGACGGAGCAGGCGCTGGAGCACACGCTCTCGACCGAGCAAGTGGCCATGCCCCCCTTGTCCTTTTCCTCCTTTTCCTCCCCCTCCTCCTCCTCCTCCTCCTCCTCCTCCTGCTCCTCCTCCTCTTCCTCCTCCTCGTCCTCCTCCCCCATTCTCCTCCGCTTCCTCCTCCGCTTCCTCTCCTCCTCCTCCTCCTCCTCCCTCCTCTCCTTCTCCTTATCCTCCTCCTCCTCCTCCTCCTCCTTCCTCCTCCTCCTCCTCCCTCTCCTCATCCCTCTCCTCATCCTTCTCCTCCTCCTTCTCCTCCTCTTTCCCCCTCCTTTTCAACCGCCTCCTCTTCATCCTCCACCTTCTCAACCCATACAGACCAGTAAAAGCCAGCACGGATGAGTCACACGGTGCACAACACACCGCTTGGGTACTAACCCAACTCAGCGGGACGGAGGTCACCCCAGTCGAGAAACTCTTGAACCTGCCCAACGCAGTTTCCTTGATTTGGAGGGTGCCATGTAGCATACATGTCGTCACCGGCAACTTACCGTTCATAAGATTTATTTGGACTTGAAGTCTCAACCCACCTCATGGTCAGACGCAGTACCTGCGACGCCCCATAATGTCCGCAACGCGTGCGCCGCACCAAGTGCAACCCCGATCCCACGACCCAGGAAACGCAGAGGCGGTGACCGAAAGTATCCGGAACTTTCAGGGCACAGAACAGGGACGGAATCAGAGCTCGACACTGAGTCCTCGTGAGGGGCGAGACCTTCCTCAAAGAACGTGAAAATCGATAGTGAATGACATGCCAACAAATTACATGTAGGCTTCAAGAAGACCTCCCAACCCCAGGAATCACAAATCCCTTGCTCAGCTCAAACAGTCCCGAAACAGGCGGCCAGAGGGCCAGGATTCTACCCATGCCTCAAAAGGAACAGCTCCACCAGTGCCTCGCACGAAGTCTCCTGCTTCAGACAGATGAGCCACCCGCCAACCAGCCCTCGACAAGCACCCTCAATGCGGTCCGAGGCAGGAGCCATATGCATAAAAACTGGTCATCTGGGTCGAACTCGAAGGTGCCCACGAGCACTCCATCTTGGATGTAGCGCATGGCGCGCGAGTCAACCGGATCCCACCAACCCCTGGAACACAACAATACCGGCACCTGCTGCGAGGGCTTGTCGGAGAGCGTCTTCTAAGAAGAGAGCGGGTCTCTCCGACTGAGCACGCGCACGCAGTCGTAGCATCTGTGAAGCACGGTGTCCTCCTTGCCGCATCCGCATAGGCAACGAGGGTCCGCGCTGCATCCCCACTTCCTGAGGTTGAAAGCGGCCGACATCTTAAAACTTCCCCCTGGGGCATCTTACGCTTGTTGCTTAAACCTTCCAGGCTGGTCCTCACCCAAGCTCCCGTTCCTGAAAAACGCCCCTGGACCAAGGTTCGATGGGTGGGGCTCGCGCTCAGAATTTCTGGCTGCAGAAGTCGGGGCAAGGGCAAGGGGGTCTGGCATCTAGCAAGTGACCACCAAGGCCACGGAAGGATGAAGGGCCCGCAGAACCCCGCCCAACTTCCCGACGCCATACGAGGATATCACCAATGAGGCCCCGTCTTTCTGCAACCACTGCTTCATAAAACTTTGAGGATTCAACCTGGCCTGGACGGCGCGGAACAGATCCGCAAGAACAGGGCCGCCCAGCACGTCTGCGCGCTGGCGTCGAAGGTCGTCGCGCGGCGCCGACATCAACCACCGTTCTGTGCAAGATCTCTCCATCGTTGAGACTGCCACGAACAGCGGGTCCTTGACCTTCGACAACGCCCATCCAAGGTCCACGCTGTGGCCTCGCGAACTTTGGCCGCGCTACCTGGGCACCCGCGGTCTCAACTTGCGCGCCTGCGTCGGGCAGAAAGCGTCGACTTCGGTCCGGACACCGCAGTTGGAACAGCACTGGCGAGGGGAAGTCTGGCATTGTGCCCTCGGCGGTTTAACTTCTGACTGGAAATGCGTCTTCACTTTGCCATCATCTTGCGCCACCTCTGGTCTCCTGCGCTGTGAGCTTTAGGATGTGCCTTGTGTTTGCCGCCTGCAAAATCGACTCCCAAGCCATTGATTGCATGTTCTCCTGGCCTTCCCCCCAAGGCCCCGCGAGGCCAAGTGAACATGTAGCCGCTCGACGCCACCGTGTTCAGCCTATGCATAGCTAGTGGGAGCGGCGACTGCATGTGTCATCGATGTCCCACTCGATGCACATGGATTCGCATCTGTCTCAACACGTCGATCCGGATGTGTCCCCAATGGCGCTGTGAGAGGTCGTCTGCATGCAAGGAGAGCGTCGAACAATATGTCGGCCTGAGCTTCATCTCGCCCTCAATCAGCAGCAGCAGCGCGAGTTTCGCCTCGAACGTGGCCCCTGCCAGCTACAATCCCACGTCCTGGCGATAGTGGATCCAGGCGGGCCTGGTCGTACTTCAACAGACTGGACCATGTGTAAATTCGAGAAAAAAAAACACCTGCAGCACCTCCACTGGGAATTGAGCCAACGCGGCATTATTGGAAATAATGAAGTCCCATGGCATGTGCTCGTAAAACTGCAGTAGGTCCCGTATGAGAAAGATGTACTATTGACTCGTGGTTGCACTTCCTTCTGCCAGCACTGCTTGACGCCACAGCTTATCTCCTGGTCCCTGATGTTGGCCCAAGGAATGTGCTGAGCCCAGACCAGGAAAGATTCCCCGCTTGCGGAGCCTGGATTTGCCGAGCCTGCCACTGATCCTCATCGGTGCTGGGCAGAAGTCCAATGGACGACGGCCTCCTGCAGGTCTGTGCGCACGCTGAACGACGAGTCTTTATGTGGAAGGCGGTGCAACAAGTTCCGTGAACAGCCGTATCTTTCCAAACGCCTCAAGGGAACCATCAGTGATTCGAAGGGTAGCGCCGCGGATGACAACCACTGGGTTGGCATGTCTGTAGCTTGAGCCTCTTTCTTTCGTACCGTCTGTCCCCGAGTTTGGGCAGCAGCATGACT